GAATAGGCCAACAAGCTGACAAATCGGAAAGGCTTCAGACTTGAAACTTTTGAAGTGAGCCCCAGACGTAGGTACATGATGCCCCCAGTTTTGGTTTTGTGCAGTAAGTCCCATAGCAAGGGCTGTCAGCGCCAGCCGACATGCCTCTCATGTGTCGCGGTCTAAAGGTTCCTTAACATAGATGGATTTTGACAAACTATAGCTTGTTGGATAGCGGATGAATAGGCCAACAAATTAACAAATCGGCAAGGCTTCAGACTTGAAACTTTTGGAGTTAGCCCCAGACGTAGGTACATGATGCCCCCAGTTTCGTTTTTGTGCAGTAAGTCCCATAGCAAGGGTTGTCAGCGCCAGCCGACATGGCTCTCATGTGTCGCGGTCTATAGGTACCTTAACATGGATGGATTTTGACAGACTATAGCTTGTTGGATAGCGGATGAATAGGTCAACAGGCTGACAAACCGGCAAGGCTTCAGACTTGAAACTTTTGGAGTGAGCCCCAAACGTAGGTACATGATGCCGCCAGTTTCGTTTTTGTGCAGTAAGTCCCATAGCAAGGGCTCTCAGCGCCAACCGACATGGCTCTCATGTGTCTCGGTCTAAAGGTACCTTAACATGGATGGATTTTGACAAACTATAGCCTGATGGATAGCGGATGAATAGGCCAACAAGCTGACAAATCGGCAAGGCTTCAGACTTGATACTTTTGGAGTGAGCCCAAAACGTAGGTACATGATGCCCCCAGTTTCGTTTTTGTGCAGTAAGTCCCATAGCAAGGGCTGTCAGCGCCAGCCGACATGCCTCTCACGTGTCGCGGTCTAAAGGTACCTTAGATTGATTTTGACAAACTATAGCTTGTTGGATAGCGGATGAATAGGCCAACAAGCTGACAAATCAGCAAGGCTTCAGACTTGAATCTTTTGGAGTGAGCCCCAAACGTAGGTACATGATGCCCCCAGTTTCGGTTTTGTGCAGTAAGTCCCATAGCAAGGGCTGTCAGCGCCAGCCGACATGCCTCTCATGTGTCGCGGTCTAAAGGTACCTTAACATGGATGGATTTTGACAAACTATAGCTTGTTTGATAGCAGATGAATAGGTCAACAGGCTTACAAACCGGCAAGGCTTCAGACTTGAAACTTTTGAATCGCTATAAATCTAGGTATAAATATAAAGTATGGTGTTCCATAAAACAATGTGCACCGCATTTTTGGGCGTCGCAATTTTAAGCTCTGGCAGGGATCAATTTGATAGATTTCATGCAAGACTTTCATGCAAGACGGCCAGAGCTTATTGTGCATTCGCACTTGTTTTGGTAATTTCCAGTGGCGGGTTTGGGCGGTGAGGGTAGATGCATGATGCAAACCCGCGTTCAGCCACTGAATAGTATGATACTATAGGTTTTCCCGGCCAATTTCCTAAAATGTTCATTCATTTCTGAAAATCGGCGATTCATTTTCGTCTGAATTTGAATGCACGTCTTTAATCCCATTTCAATTCAACGAAAGTTCAATCGTTTTCATTGTCCGTGCATTCAGTTTTGAGAAACAGACGGCCAATTCCGTTACCATGAGCATTCATTTACGCAAGCGTACCTTTTCGCGCAGAGTTCTGGCATACAATTACGTGAATGTGCAATCAAAAATACGGGTTTTTTTTCATTCAAAATAGCAGATTGCATCACAGAACATTAAACTAAAAGTGAAACAGAATGACCAATGTTTGAAATCGCCCTCTAAAAGTGAACAGGAAGTCTTGTAAACGAATCTGAATGAGCATAAACGAAGAAATGTGCTGCTCAATCACTTAATTGATTGAACTGGAATGGAATGGAATGCTCTGGTAGCGAAAATGAAACACGTGTTCAGAGCGATTCTCAAATTCAGACGAAAATGAATGACCGATGTTCAGAAGTGAACATTTTAGGAAATTGGCCGGGAAAACCTATAGTAAAGTGGGGCCAGAAAAATAATATATGGAATGGTAAAGTTCCTAAATTTATTATCAAATTGACTTAGAATGCAGCAGAAAACATCGTAAATTTCAAAATTTCCGGGGGCATGCCCACTTCCAGCCCTCCATCATATCACCCCCCGTTTCCTGATAGCTAGATCCGCCCCTGATTATGATATCACATTGAATACAAATGTTGCTGTGTCAACGCCTCGCCCCAGTGGTGGATCCAGGCTTTTTATGAAGGGGGTTGTAAACGTGGCCTGAAGACTATGAGCTGGATAGTGTTTAATCAAAATTTCGGGAACAAAATTCCCTGATTGTCTTTAAGCGTAGTATCATCGACCTTGATCACAGAATGGCCAGTCTTAAGTCCGCTAGATCAGACTAAGGCCCATTGGCGCCTTGCCAAATTTGGTCAATTTTACATTTAGGCCTAATGAAAATGTTGAGAACAAGAACAAAACCAATATCATTTGTTAGCTTAAACTTGTAGATTATGGAAATATAACTTAGGAGCCAAAATGTACCTGGTGGGGGTTGAGGCCCCACCCCCACATCCGTGCTAAGATGTCGACACGTTTTTTTCACCGGACACTTGGCCTCCGTAAAATCAAATTGTGGGGGAAGGGGGGGGGGGGGCTGGTACCATCTTTCAAAATAGGAGGCGCTCTTCAAAACCGGCCATTAAGCAAACTACGCATTAGAATATGTGCCCATTTTCAGGGCGCATTGTAAGGGATTTGGGAATTGGTTTTTATATTCCTCGTTCATATCACAATTACTCTCTGTACCATTTTGGGTAATAGGTTTTCCCGGACAATATTGACAAATGTGCATTTAAATTTATAAAACATAAATTCAATTTGGCGCTGATTTTGAGAACGACGTATAACCTGGTTTTATTTTCACTCTATTTCATTTTGCATCATTCAAATGAATGAATGTGCATAACGTTTTATTTAAAGGATTACAAATACGTGATTAGCACAAACATAAACCTATCAGCGATTTCAATATCAACATCTCCCCTCTGTTACAAAAACCATTTGTCCCCATCCCTGGAAATATTTCTCCCCATCCCCGGAAATATTCGTGAATTCACCGACATAAATCACGGATCTGTAGAGGGTCCGTGCGTGCATAAATTAACTGGTGAAATCGTACAGCGCCGCTCATTGCGTTACGTCGGCAGAAACCAATGCATCGATAAGGGATTCCCCGGTTCTGAAGCTTCTCATTGGTTAAAAATGGGCACATGATATACTACGACATCATTTTCCAATTTTCTATAATCAATACTACAGATTTGTCACCTCCATACCAACCTCGTCCCCAGGGTGTCGAGCAGTACGCGCCCACCACTACCTGTTCTCTCATTGGAAACGCGGTTGGAAATAAAGTAAGCACTGGGGACGAGGTTGCCTCCGTACGTACCGCGTTATCGGCACTATTCTCATCGCATACGCGTAAGCTTTTCTATGATTCTGTGTCAAAGTGACGTGGTTTGGTGAGTGCGGACTCAGAGTTATTTATGGATTAAAAATTAGTAAAATTTCACGAATGAAAAAGGTTTATAAATGGACGAATACGCAACGAAAACTGAAAAGGCCTAGTTTTAGGATATACCACGTGCGCTGCACGCATCGTGCATGCGCGGTGCTAGCCCGTAGTTCAGCGGTTGTTTATTGTGCATGTTGTGTACGTTGGAAATTTCACACGATCTACACGCCTGAAACGTGTTTCTTCGTTCATAAGACGGCCGCAACATTTTCGCGCCACTCGTGCACCGGGCGGATGTTGACAGGTCAAATTGCCGGATCAGATCCACCTTTTGCGTTCCCATCTGATCGTGATCCGCCAATTGCAGGATCTGATCCACCAATTGGGGGATCTGTATCCTGCTCCAGAGGTGGATCAAGAAAGGTGGATCTGATCCTGATCCACCTTATAATGGTTAGCGTTCCCACTAGTACACACAATTGCCTGATCTGATCCACCAATTGGGGGATCTGATCCGGCAATTTGGCAAAAGGTGGATCAGATCCCCCAATTGGTGGATCAACGAGACTGATGGCGAGTTCAAATACTAGGCTCGCGTGCAGCAGAGGGTCTGATTCTTTATTTGACTTAACAGTTGTTATAAGTTATCAGAGTTCGACTTTTCGAGATTTCACTGTACAAACGATACAAACAGTCAACTCCACCCCATATAGCTTGGCGCGGCACCCCGCTAGTGTTTATCATTTGCTGCCCGTGTGACCCCTGAGAAGGGGGTGTTGGTGCAGTATTCATCAAGACAAGACAAGACAAGAGTTTACTTTTGACTTGACCCCCTGAAGGAATTTTGACTACGCACCATGTGCTGTAGTCTTATGTATGGACGTATGTGAGTATAAAGGCAGTTAGACGTGTAACAGTGCTTGCCAGATAACGCATATAGGGCCTGCTGATACTAAATAGGATGCATTTTCACACATAATTATTCACATTCTCTTGACTTTTAACCAATCAGACTGCTTGTTCAAATCTGCTGGTAGCAAGTCCCATATATTTCATATAAAAATGGTAATTGAAGTCGACGAACAGCATATCGCATATGTAAATAGCAATTGAACTTGGGAATAGGTAATTGGTTGACATCGCGGGGCCCGGCGACGCGGTATACACTGAGTATCACCCGTTATCCACCGTGACGGAGCCAAGTCCATGGCTTCGCCATGGTCTATTACATAGACTAGCGACGCGGCGGGCCAATGAGAAACGAACAAAACCGGCTTGATATCAAGTCTAAACTAAAAAGCATTGTCGTGGTGCCGGTTTATTATTTTTTATAGAGACCCGCAGTATGGAACAATATCATAACGTACCAACTCGATTGTTGTAGACAGAAATCGATGTAGTCTGTGCACTTCAACTAGCTTTAATAGTTTGTGCATAGCACAATTAAAACACAACTCTATTTTCTTCATCAAACAGTTCGGCTTGTTCCTTCTAAAAATATATTATTTCTCTTGGGAGTTATGACCATTGGAAGTAAGCAACTCGACATGTCTGACAAGAAACTGGATCGTGAGCGGAATGATGAATCCGGGATTTACCTTCACGTGTCCGCAATTATCTTTGCTTTGGTGTGTGTGGCCGTGATGGTGGCTGCGGTAGGATTACTGGCTGGGTTTTTACCTGATCGGACCTGCCAAAATGAAAGGTATGGAAGCCATGTTTGTTTTTATTCACAAAGCTCGTTTTGACCAAGCCACGTTCAAAACAATGTGCCATTTTGCCGAGGATTGACATTCAAGCCATTTCACAGACATTTCCGTAACAATAGGCACACCGTGCCCAGTGGTTGTTTTTTTTTTTTTATGAAAGTGAACCAACTGCATTTTTGCATTCAGTTTTCAAGACAATGATGCTCAGTGATGCATGACTCAGAAAACCTAAACACGGTATCATTGAAAAGCATAGAGATTACGCTTTCAGATGATACCAGTTTTATAGCCAGTAAATATATCGTCTGTCCATACTCATTCTTTGAAGTTGGGTTTCCTTTTTTTGAAACACCCTGTATAGACACATAAAGATTCAAGAATTGGAGACAACAGGGATTATCAAACTCCCGCCAATCTCAGTCATGTTCATTGTGTACGCCTGGCTAATTTCTTGTAACCCATCTGTTCGTTTAACCTTGTCGGTGGATCTGATATACTTTTGTACAGTTTTCCAACCAAAGGACCAACCTATGATGTTACAACTGAGGGTTCAAATGATCCACTGACCACCACAGATCCCAATACCATCTGGAAGGACCCCCGGCTACCAGACACCTTCGTCCCACTGCACTACGACTTGGAGATGAAGACCGATCTGAATAACTTCGTCTTCGACGGTAAGGTGACCGTGACAGTCTTGTGTATGAAGGCTACAAACCTCCTGGTGCTCAACAGCAATAAACTGCAAATCCCCCACACAGGAGGCGTGGAAATCCTCCCTGAAAGCAGAGGTGGGATACCAAGTATCATAAGAGTCAGCGTTGACGAGGCGAATCAATACCTGAACGTGGTGTTCGATAACAATCTAGAAGAGAATCGAGAATATAGGGTTTTGGTCAGGTTTCAAGGTGTGCTGAATGATAATATAAAGGGGTATTACAGGAGTTCGTATACCGCAGCGGATGGTATTAACAAAAGGTAGGGGCATTATAATATTCTCTTGCACTATTATTATATACACAGCACGCGTATTGGGCCTATAGCGTGTACAAATATTGATGTGAGCTCATACTTTATTCGATATGGTCTATCAGTTTTATAGTTGGTCGGTTAGTTAGGTGGGTTTGGATAGGTAACTTATACAATGTTTATACATTGTATACGTATATATTGCTTTGTATATACATTGTATAAGTACATATTGCTTTGAAACTTTGTTACAATTTTCCGTTGATAGTTTTCCATGGTAGAAAAGTGTTGATACCTTTGTTTCCTATATGCAACGATCCCGAGTTCAGAGGACTAAGGAGACATGTCGCCTCCCCCGTCGATTAACAAATCCCCTCGTTTTATTAATTTAAAATATACCCCCCCCCCCAATTCGGTGATATACATTTAATACCGTTCCCTATGTCATGCAAACTTTGTTTTCCTTGCTCTGTATGTAATGTAAATCTGTATATAAATAACTCCAAGGTAAATGTTGCTATATATCAATTTAAAGGGAATTTACAACATTTGCTTTTGCTGCAATTTTCAGAAAAAATGGATTTGGAGGATTAGTATGTTATAGCAAATATTGATAAGCTGACTTGTTTCACTTTTGGGGCTTGTAGATGCTGGAAAAAACAAGAAAACCAATCAAGTTTTTGTAGTCTGGTTCCCCGACCCCACTTAAGATTAAATGGAGCAATTTGTAGACTTTGAGGGATTGTAAGGTCAGAAAATCAGTCTAGCAGGTTTGTACCCCTTCAAGGTGTGTAATGATCAGTTGCAAAGAAAATGCAGAATATCTAAATATGAAAAATTATGAGCAGTTTTTGAAAAAAAAGTGTTTTCTCCAACGCTAGTCGGCCGACCAGCGTTGGAAAAATACAATTATCTTGAAAATGTCAGCACAGTGCACCAGGAGCCATTTTACAGGATGCTTTAGACTGTCATTCCCAAACACTCCAGTAAGGTATTTCGTGATAATTTGATCATTTCGTTTTTCGATGTTTGCAAATGTTGTATCTTCCCTTTAAAACAAAAATGTTTGGTTCCGGTTGTGATGGGGTAGAATTTGGGAAGGGGATATCACCAAATAAGGAAGGAGAACGCGCTTTACCGTTTTACATGTAGCGGAAAATTAACAGCAACAAGTGAAATGGGCGTGGTTTTGAGGGGTTTTTTTTGGGGGGGGGAGTCAAGTTGCGTTTCTATGCCAACTTTTTTTTATTGAAATATTGAATTATCAATTGACTTATTGAGTTATCCCTGAAAATAAGTGTAACTTGTAAAGACCGTGGGGATAATTCGACAGTCCCTATTTACGGGGTCAAATGCGAGTCGTTTTTTAGTCGGCTTTTATATAACGCAAGATCAGACTGCGTGCTGTCCAGAACGGTTGTGCACCTCTCCTCATTATACTCCGTACAAAGTCCTTCGACTGTATTGTACCCGGTCGTCTATGCAAACTTGCACAAGTTTTGCAGTGTAGGCCTAGAGCCAATACACTGTATTATGATCAATTAACCTATCGAACTTTGATCAGCATGGAGAAAAGTTCATCGCCCATTTTTTTTCAAAACCTACATTTCGTGGTGTGCATTTGTTATTTCCTTTCTCCATGACGGAGTAAACTCATTTTCCTGACTCCACAGGTGGCTTGCCGTGACGTTCTTCTCCCCCACGAATGCTCGCATGGCCTTTCCTTGCTTCGATGACCCCGGGCTTAAAGGTGAACATTCGGAGCTAAAAGACACCTGTAAAAGAAATGTTATTAAAACCAATTGGCATATCGATGACTAAATAAAGTAAATTATAATGCAGCGCTTTCCATCGTATCAAAAATCTCAAAGCGCTTTAAATAGAGTCCCGTTCATCAGGCCACGAGACAGCCGATATCAGGGCAATTGTAGTAATAAGTGTCTTGCCCATGGGCACAAAACACCATGTTCCTGGTAGGGTTCGAACCCACACACCATCGTACATGAGTCAAACACCATAACCACTGGACCATGGCATTCTACATTGGAATATTATTCAGATCAGATTTATTTGCAGCATTAAGCGGCCTATTAGGAATTAGCCTTGGTCAAGGCGCTAGTTGTCTTTTATCCGGCCGTAGCGCGGTAATGCATGCAGTCATAATGTCTATGCGCTATGCATGCAGTATGCATTAAAAATACAGCGCGAACAGCGACCTCACGCGGCCACTGTTTTTATGCAAATCAGTTTGACCCAATATAGCGCCTTGGTTCAATTGTCCATGTGACATTTCAAAAATATCCCAAATGCAAATGACAGAGGACACTCTTCTGCCCATCTTGTGAGAAAATGATAGAAATCCAATCACGCATATCAATACGAAGCTCAATTGAATGAAAAAAAGTGCCAATACATATGGAGAACTTTGCCACCAATAATTATGTGCAGAAAATCAAAGCCCTGCATGCTCTGCGGTCACACACAACGGTGCATTGACCCGGCGACCTGCACAGCCCCGCTGCATTGACCGGACTATACATAAACAGCAGGTCGATCCTCGCAACAAAAGCGATGCCTGATTTGACAAGAAAAGTGCCCTTGTTCTTCTCAACCAATCAAAACGGTTGTTACATGAATGGAAAGCTTATTGTGTTATCTTTCAGAAACCGTGCGAGGTAATTGTATGCGACCGAGTTCACACGTGTGCTGTTCGAAGAAGTAAACCCGCACCCTCAAAAATCGGGGAAATGTGCCGTGACCTCCATAGGAAACGCGAAATTTTCACTGAGTTACCCGTTTTTCAATGAAAAAGTGCACATAATTATTCGCCTTTAACCATGAAGAAATTATATTCATTTGAAAGAGGAAAACCTATATTTTATGATGCGATGCGAGGAAGTAAGTCTAACCAACATACTTTCCGTGTATAACGAAAGTTTGCTGAGAGCGCCTAGATATGAGCCAGTCTTCCCACGTAAACAGAGCTGCACTAGTGACGAGTGAGCAAATGCTCCCTAGGGTCCTAGCTCTATGCTCCAATGTACTGGTTTGAGTGATCCTGCAAGGCAGGGTATAACAAAAGTTTCCTTGTTTAAAAAGATGTTTAACTAAAACAAGACGCAATCTTGGTAATCTAACAGATAATTGCAGATCTTTTAATGCAAAGATGACAAAGAAAATGCTGTGTAATGCTATTACTTTTAGATTAGATACAAAAGGGATTAACATTCTACCTTTTAAAGCATGATCAAACCAGTACATTGGAGCAATGCTATTTACTGCAACTTTTCTTATTGGCACTTTTTTCATTCTAATGAGCTTCGTGTTGGTATGCGTGATTGGATTTCTATCATTTTCTCACAAGATGGGCAGAAGAGTGTCCTCTGTCATTTGCATTTGGGATATTATTGAAATCGTGCATTTCTATTTCATTAATTAAGAATAATGTGGGGGGAACTTAGGACTTGTGATACCTGTATACTGATTATCTGCAGGCCTTTGAACTTCAAGCGAAAAAGCAACTGGCCCTTCGAAGGCCTGCACTGTATGTTGCAGTTATGGGGCAAGTTTTTTTTCCCCCATGGAATGTTCAGGCCAGCGCCAATGGTTCGCTCGTACACTGCCCACCTTAGTGTTATACACTGCCCACCTTAGTGTTATGGCATTGTAATATGTTTGTACTCTATACTAGCATTCATTTTTTGTGTGTGAAGCAAATCTGACTCTGACGATGATCCATCCTGAAGACTACACGGCTCTCGGTAACATGCCGGCAGAGGGCGCTCCAACCAGCCCGGACCCAGACGGGTTTGTGACCACACGGTTCGCTACTTCACCGAAGATATCTACATATTTAGTGTGCTTCGCTGTACTAGATTTCCCGTCGATAGAGATCACATCAAAGCACAACATTTCAGTAAGACTTGACATTTTTAGTGTTTGAAGGGACAAAAATGGTTGCAGGACTTATACAAGTTTATGAAATTGAGATTGGTAATTCACTGGAAGTCTGTTCACGCATCTGGCAGACACAATGTGCCGGATAGATCACTGACACTACGATATAATCTTTTACGATGGCACTGCCCGACTCGGCAGTGAATGAGTGACTGGGTCACAATGTGGATTCCTAATATATCCAGCACCAGCAAAAAACGTAAGCAGATACACTGGAAGAAAACTAATGACAAGACATTTGGTTAAAGGCAGACACATGCTGGGAACATATGGATTTTTTTTTCATTTGAAGCAACAAAGTTTGCTCAAAATCTTAAGAAGGTGGCATAACAACTAACTTCTTGAAGTTTCAGCTTAGTGGGTACCGGCTATACGGTTTTGAGAAAAAAGTAAATAACCATCATCATAGGTAGAATGAATCCGAAAAAGATCGACATGTGTGTGATTCCACGTAGTGATTATATTTCCGATCAGTTCACAAGAAGTATAGCCCGTGTTGTTGGAGACATAAACGTACCTACCGATTTAACGAGAAAGTCCTAGCTCAGAACTGGTACTAAAATGATTTTGCCTGAAATATTCATTCGGAAGAAAAACAATCAGTAAAGTCGGTTTAAGTAAGTGTGCCTGGGGGCACAGTTTTTTTTACGTGCGTTTAGAGCAACGAAATCCAGTTACGAGACCCCAAAAATATATAGGTTTTCCCGGCCAATTTCCTGAAATGTTCATTCACTTCTAAAAATCGGTCATTCATTTTCGTCTGAATTTGAATGCACGTCTTTCATCCCATTTCAATTCAATCGTTTTCATTGTCCGTGCATTCGGTTTTGAGAAACAGACGGCCAATTACGTTACCTGTGCATTCATTTACGCAAGCACCTTTTCTAAATTGATTTCAGGTACAGCTAATTTGATTGACGGTTAATGAAAAAGAAACCCCTAATTGTATCTGGTGCCGATGGCATTAAACTTAAAGTGAAATAGAATGGTGAATATTTGAAATCGCCCTCTAAAAGTGAAAAAGAAATCTTGTAAACGAATCTGAATGGACAGAAACGAAAGGTGCTGCTCAATCACTAAATATTGAACTGAAATGGAATCGAATGCTCTGGTAGCGAAAATGAAACGCGTGTTCAGAGCGATTCTCAAATTCAGACGAAAATGAATGACCGATTTGTTCTGTTTTCTCAAAACGTATAGTATCCACTGGGCTGAAACTTCAACAAGTTAGTTTTCATGAACCCTTCCTCAGATGTTAACCAATGTTGGTGCTTCAAACCCAAAAATAACTGCACAAAAAGCAACGCTCCTATAGTATTATACATGTATACAACATTTGCTTTTGCTGCAATTTGCAGGAATAAAGGGATTTGGAGGATTAGTATGATTAGCAAATATTGTTAAAGGTTTGTAAAGAAACCAATCATGCTATTGCAGTCTGGTTCCCTGACCCCACTTAAGATGAAACGGAGCAATTTCTAGACATTGGGGAATTGTAAGGTAAGAGAATCAGTCTAGCAGGCTTGTTCCTCTTCACAGGTGTGTAATCAATTGCAAAGAAAATGCGGAATAGAAAAATTAGGAGCAGTTTAAAAAAAAACACAACAGTTTTCTCCAACGCTGGTCGGCTGACCAGCGTTGGAAAAATTAAACTTTTTCTTCAAAATGTCCGGCACACCAGGAGCCACGATTTTACAGAATGCTTTAGACTGTCATTCCCTAACAATCCAACAAGGTATTTTGTGATAATTTGATGATTTTGGTGCTTGCAAATGTTGCATCTTCTCTTTAACATACAAATACTTAAATGTTCTTTTGCGATTGAAAGATGGTTCCAAACCAGTATCAGTACGCATATTACAATACATGTAGGCCTACTGTTTTCCAAGCAGGACTTGTTAATGTGATCTGATAATAAGCTCTGCCTGGCAATCAGAAGAAATGCAGGAATGACATTTGTATCATACGCATAGGATTTTGTTTTGTTTCGGCAATAGATTCGCGGTTGGGCACGTCCGGACGCTACTGATTCTTTGCAATACGGCTTGAATATGACAGCACGCACATTAGATTTCTACATTGAGCACATCGGAATGGACTTCCCCCTCCCAAAAATAGGTAACCTTTAACCACATCCCACCACAAAAACATCGATGTGACCTAGCTTCCACGACACTCATTGTCGTCATGCCTGAATCACTGAACAAAATGTAAAAGAATTTACGTAATGTCAGAGGCAATCAGATTAATTTGGTGATTACCCGTCGCATTTTGGTGTAGCTGTGTGATAATTTCCATGCCGCATCTTTGGATATAAATTCGCACTATTTGAGTTAAAATCCATTGTACGAAGTATATAATAGAATAAATCTGTATTTGGTTTATTTTGAGAAAAAAAAATGTACTATTTCCCCAGACGTTGTAGCGGTTCCTGATTTTGAGGCAAGCGCCATGGAAAATTGGGGTTTGATCACGTATCGGGAAACAGCTCTGCTCAACACAGCAAGCACGACTTCACAAAGGACAACTGGGAGTCAAGGTTTTACCATCGCTCACGAGATGGGACATCAGGTAAAAAGGCCTATCACGTGCTTATATACAATGACCAAAACAACAAGAAGGCCCTACATGTAGAATTATGGACTTCTTTACTCTGAAGTAAAATTGTGTTGACATTTATATGCATGATTTTTGTTGTCGTACAATTAACTGTTGAATGTGGGCACACATAATAATGTTTGGGTTACCTGTCGGGTGTCTGATGACGTCACAGGTGAAACAGACGATCCCGTGAATACATGTCCGAAATTACCTGCATTGTTTCTCTGAGTTTTGACTGTCCGATCATTTTAAACGAAGACTGTTATTTAGAATTGTCAAAATAGTTTCGATTTGTACATGTGATATTTATATGCAGTATTTCGGCAACCTCGTTACCCATAAGTGGTGGGAGTATATCCTGCTAAAGGAGGGCGGGGCTACATACCTGGCATATACTAGCCTACCAGCTGTGCAACCAACATGGCAATACGTAAGAATCATTGTTTGTCTGATTGTCTTTGGAGCATTAGTCTACATGTGTGTCTGCTGAACTTCATCAGCTGATATTGAACGTTTACTCCTGACTTGTTACTACTGTTCAGTGAATGTAGTCAACCATCTGTTATTCGCTATATGTCTTAATAGCCTTGGGTATCGTGTCGGGAACTCTCGTTAAGATTCACGTTTGTTTAGTTGCAAAATATATTGATATTCAGTTCTGTTGGAGAAATTTTGGGATTTGACAAATGCCGACTATCATGCTTTCATCTTACGCAGCAAGACCTGTTTGTGATTGAACGTGTAACTACGGCTATGTCTACGGACGCTTTACCAAACGCTAGACCAGTACAGAAGGATGTAGCCACGCTCGCCGACATAGCTGCTTCGTTTGATCGGGCTATCACGTATAGTAAGGTATGTGCATGATGAGATACCAACGTGATGTTGACGACGCGCAATCAGTGGAAATGAGAATCCAATGGTTCCTTAAGTATGGCTATTTTTCAGACAACTTGTGTTGTGTCATCCAAGACCCATGCACCAAACAACATAACTTGGCGTTCAGTGGCCTTGGTGGTGGTATTTAATTATCACAACATTACAGGTCAACTCACCTGTATCACTGTTGAACAAAACCAATATGGCTGTCATGCACAGGATATTTTGCTTCAGAATTGCTCTGTCTTTCACAAGATGTCGATTGTCTGATAGAAAATGTAATCATTTTCTTCAAGGGACCATCCATCCTGCGCATGTGTGAAAACATTCTTGGCAAGGCGACATTCAAGAGAGGGTTGATGGTGAGTTAGAAAGAGGTCTCGGTTCGTCATGTTATATGCTTCCTCCTTACATCTGCTTCATTATTTAGTTACAACAAGCTTAAGACATATTAAAATTAAAAAGGATAATAATATGTGGCATCTGGACCCTCTTGTTCCATTTGACACAAAGTTGTCCTTGCGGGTGACGCAATAGTATGGAGTTCATATTGGTTTTGGTTGAATTGCTGCGTGTGTATCGTTAGAAAGCACGAGTCCTGCTTATAAAGGTCACAAATTTATGCGACATATCTCCCCAAATTTTGAATTTTCTTTAAATAGTCGTGTTAAGTACTGTCTTCCTTTGCTATGAAAGAAATTAACATTTTATTGACGATTGTTGAATCTGGAGAATTTGTTTAAAGGAAGTAAATCTGAATGTCAAACCGTTAATCACTAAGACATGCAAATTAAATAATATGGTCAATGATAGCTGCGGAACAGTTTATAAGGCGGACAGGTTGAGGGTTCGAGTCCCGGGAATTTTGATTTCCCCAGAAGCGAATTTTCTTTCTTAAATTGTGTTTTGATATCAAGTCCTAATGATCGATGACATCGATGTTTTAAAATTGGACCGTATTTTTGTTCCTGGTTAAAAGATGTAATGTCCTTGTTCTTCAGCAAAATCAATTTTTATTCGAAAAAGTACGTATTTAACATTATAGTGAATATTTTTAAAGCATAATTGAACGAATTTGGGCTGATTATGTCACTCTACAAAACGCTTACACACGCAGACGTACATGAGAAGATATGCCTTTGGTACAGCAACAAATGACGACTTTTGGGAATGTATGCAAGAGGTAAGCGTTTTGCCAAAGCGTTGCCAATTGTTAGTTGTTAGAAATCATATTGATCTTTCTGAGAGAAAGTTGCATCACAGAAAATAAATTCATTTCAAAATTCGACTTTTGCCTTGAAAAAGTGCCTACTAGGATCAAAACGAGATCGAACCAATACCGTATGTGACTCATATACTTTGTGAAATCGCCAAATTGGCGTTATCGAAATCTATGCAGTTGAAATCAAATTTTCGCAGTCTTATAAACACGAAAATAAATTCCAATGAAGCTAAACAAATTCACAACATTTAAATCATGAAGAATGTATGATGTGCAAGAACAAACTGTTTAAAGAACGTGCATGCAAACAATGTTCGTTCGTTATCAATGGATTTAAAAATAATTACTTAAGGATAGATATCCATCTTATTGATTTCGTTTTTGCTCCTCAAGGCAGTGGCTGAAGATGGAACACCGATTGATATCGTTGGCATCATGCACACGTGGGTGCTTCAGTCAGGATTCCCATTAATAAATATTACAACGAATTTCGGGAATTCCGACAAGATATCGTTTAAAGCGGAGCAGTTTCGGTTTCTGATAAGCCAAGACAAAGCAGATACAAAAAGGTTAGATTGCCAGAATTATCTCATGGAATTTTGAAACTTTCAGGCAATATCGTTGTCGCTAATGGCAAGAATTGAGAAGAAGGCCAATGTCCAACAACGAATTTAAGGATTCATTCAAAAGCCACATTATTTTAATTTATTTTAATAAAGTTCCTTGTGGATGATACCCTTGTGGATTCAAACTCCAACTTCATCAAATACAGCTCCTGTTTGGATGAACAACCAAACAGGTAAGGTCGGACAATAATATTATTTTGTTTTGTTTTTAAGTATGTAGTTCGCAACCCTCAAAAGGACCTTACTTGGCTACAAGTAAGGACAAATAAAACAGTTTCTTCATAATTTCACACGTTCCACAACTGCTAGCTTGACACGAAAATCTTAGCCCTTAGCACGAAACGTTGAGCTTATATGAAATCTGTTTACTACGGTAACGCCAAGGAATTATGACACAGTCTATTAATCTTATATAGGAGATTTTATTCAAATGATTCAGTTGATATTTTAGAGGTTGGGGAACTACAAATAAAACTGTAAATAAAAGTTGTTATATTTATATTCTTCTTTTTTCAAACATATATACCACAGTGTGTAAAGTACCAATGTGTTCTCAATCTACAGAAATTGATCATGTGATTGACGAAACGAACGCTGATTGGCTGTTGATCAATCCAGATCGGTTCGGCTATTACCGCGTAAACTATGACTCTGATAATTGGCAGCGTCTTGTTAACCAACTGCTGTCAAACCACACAGTAAGTGCAGGAATCATTTTCACTCAATTGTTCTCAATCATATCAATGTGAATGATGATATATTTTGCTCATTTTGTGTTGAACAACTCTCGGCTCTTAAGAATCACGTACCATTTCTTTTTGTCCCCCAAATCACAGGTGTTTTCAGTGAGCAGTCGAGCCACGCTTATTGACGATTCCTTCACTTTGGCGAGAGCCGGTAAACTCGGTTATTCGGTCGCGTTGGAAATTACGAGATATTTAGAGAATGAAAAGGACTACGTTCCCTGGGCAGCAAGCCAGGGTGTTATGTCGTATCTCGACCAACTTTTAATCACTACTGGAGCGTATGGTTCTTTCATTGTAAGATATGCGACATTAATTTTGCTGTTTCCGCTTTTATAGGTTTTTTCAGTTTTGCTGAAAGAACACTTACTGTTTTTATGATCCATGGACAGAACTTTGAAACGGTGTTTGTATTCAAAATTCCGTAACTTGAAAAGTACATGAGTAATTGGAATGATTGTTGCGCTAAAAGAAAGCTCAATGACTGCATGGGCTTTCATATCCTAGGTTTTGAAATTGCTACAGGCAGAACTTCATTCAAAAATTGGTCCTGCCATTTGGGATGCGGTTTTTTTCCCCTCACTCTGTATAACGAAAGTGAATGACCGAAGCATTTAATTGATTGATAAAAACGAATGTGCTTTAAAGTATTTGCTTTTCCTGTAATTTTCAGAAATGGATGGATTTGGGGAGTAAGTATTTTATAGCAAATATTATTGTACTGACTTGTTTAAAATTGTGTGTTCGTAGATGCTGGAAAAACCATGAAAAACAATCGTGTGTTTGTAGTCTGGTTCCCTGTCCACACTTAAGATGAAACGGAGCAATTTATTGACCTTGGGGAATTGTAAGGTCAGGAAACCAGTCTAGCACCCGTTCATAGGTGTGTAATCGATTGCAAACAAAATGCGAACTAACGAAATATGGTAAATTGAGGGAAATATTTGAAAAAGCCAGTTTTTTTCCAACGCTGGGCCGACCAGCGTTGGAAATTGATACAAAAATACCACTTTTCTTGAAAATGATAGCACACGAGGTGCCATGATGCTTTAGACTGCCATTCACTAACAGTAAAGGCATTTCATAACAATTTGGTATTTTTGTTTTTTTGATGTTTGCAAATGTTGTATATTCCCTTTCAGATAATTTCAATGATATAAGTGTTAAAGTAACAGGGAAAACTATATTATTTCTTCTTTGATGTACTTGACATCGTCTTTTTTCGTCCTCAAAATGTTAATTTTTTTGTTTCAGAAATACATGAGAAACCAAATCAGAACATTGTACAAATCCTTTGGATGGACAGACGGGGAATCGCATCTAGAAATGTAAGAACACAACATTTTGGATTTCTTCAAATACTGGTTCTTGCCTAAGGTATTTTTGTAAATTTATTCCATCATGTAGGCCTTACTATATAGTCATGGATTATGGAATGTTGGGTGACTATGTTATAAATACTTGGCCCCATCAGAAATTAGCTTTAAGTTATTATGACTCCCACTCCCAAGAATACTGACTAAATTCAATTTTTGGTAAACAAACAAATAGGTTAAAAATGACTTGGGCGCGCGGGATTTGAAGCTGTTACCTTCCAGATGTCATATCAAATCCCGAGCCATGCAACAGTTGATTACAATTGGTTAACAATGTTTAATTTTGCTGTTAATTAATAACAGGTGTATTTTTCAATTGTAATTTCAGTTTAACCCATGCCTTAGCTATCGATACAGCCTGTCGGTATGGGTTGAGGGACTGTCAAGACAAATCTCTCGAACTATTTCGGGAATGGATGGCCAATGAAACGTACAACTCGTAAGTTCATGTGTGACGTATGGCGTCTGCTTTAGACTTATATCAGTGGAAATAATATCAACAATGACAGTATTTATCGACGGAAAGTGAAAAGAGAACAATACATTTTAGTCAGTAATTTAATGTGAATACTACAGTGTACTTTTCTATGGGGATGACGTACACACACTCTTGCTTCAATTACGTATAATTTACCATATTGGTCCGAAGGCGTTGTTCAATTATATATATATTTTTAATACTCCTTGTCAAATTACGGTAGAATTCCAATTAACCAGAAACAAACTGTGTACTGTACGGCGATCGCGACAGGGAGGACCGAGGAATTTGATTTCGCTCTCCGCCAATACCTGAACACGACTGACGCAGCCCAACGATCAGCTCTTCTCATGTCGCTAGCCTGTACTCGTCAGAGCTGGCAACTCAACACGTAAGTTGCAATGCTATATCACATAGAAATCTTGTTTACCTGAAGGCTTGTTAACAAAATACACATTTGGACCTTGGTACCGGAATACATAGGGTTGTATCGAAAGGGAATTGTATCTACTTAAAAACAAAGAAACTGGACGTATACTGGTGTGTTTGTTACGAGCGCGAGGTGTGTCGTGGGAAAAAAATGTATTAATATTATTGACGAAATCTAACTGAAATGCAATTGATTCACCTCGGCTTTTCCAAGAAATAACCTCTGGATTGATAATGTCATGTTTTTTTGGTTACTTCACACTATAATTTATTATAGTCAAATGATTGCTTTCAGACTGGCAGCTAGGTTAACTTGTTTCCCCATTTCACGAGACCATAACATAAGGTCACCGAGATGCATGGTTGGTGAGGTATAGTTGAAGGTACTTGGTCCATTTTATAAAGTGTCCTTTTTTGAGCACGGGCATCTTATAAAATAATGAACATGAAAATGTAGATATTATGCCATAAATACATTTTTTTTAACCAAAAATGGGCAAAATGTAGTAAAATGCCCTCTTGTCATCAACACAGAGCAACCAAATGACGTAATATTGAAGAGCACCGGAAACCCAACATTCCTGCCAAATTGTATGAAAAACGACAGTCACATATGGAAATGTGCCCCCCCCCCAGTTCTGAGCAGACTTGAAATCAAGTCGGTATTGGCCCGTGCACCGTGCGCGCGCAACGCATACCGTCCCACCATTGATCTCCATGAGAACGATTTCGTTAAAATAAAACACACAAACAGACAGGTATTCGTCAGGAGAGGAAACAACTATTTTGTTGAAGAAACTCATGATTTTGTAAATTTTGTCGGAAAAAAACAATTTGGTTTATGATAATGATGATATTGATATGAAGATGATGGTACTACATGAACATGGTGATGTACTGTACGTAAACATATCATTTTTGTATGTACACGATTTGGGGTTGTCAGTTAAAAATATAATTTCCGTGTTCTCCAACATAATTATTTTGATGTTTTCACCCAACACAATTTTTGGGACGCAATAGACATGTATTAACGAGAAAGAATGATTTTATCTATTTTGGGTCTGCAGCCGTTGCAGATAAAGGGAAACCCAGTTTACTCATTGCGTTTGCGCACCTGCCAGTACAATGGTTCCCGTCCCCAAATTATCTATGCTAAAAAAGTGAGGCGATAAACACCAGTTTGCCCCACAGAATGCATTATTGTCAAGCCGCAGATCATTCGAAATGAACATTAATTCCATAACTCATCGTGGGTCGATTTTTTTGGTCGATGTTTCGTTCAAAGTGAATGATTTTTGTATTGTTAAAACAAGCAATCGAAAATAACATACATTTTTGGTGGAGAATCTCGAAAAAGCACGAACAGTACATTTTTAAAACATTAGATTTTTTAAAACCTTGAATAGTTTGTCATTTTGTACCTGATGGCGTTATTATGACGTCACACGCACACCTCGGGATCAGGGTGGATGCCATAATATATACCGTTTGGAAACAATTATCGTAAAATATAAAAATATCCAAAGAAAAACCGGAGCGATTTTAATAAGTGTAATGCAGCTTCGCTCGAACATGCATGTATTAATACAAATTGGATGTAAAGCGTTGTCTGCCATGATTTCATGCAGATAGATTCTGTCAAGACAACCAAACAACTTTAATGGTGTTCAGTTAATACCAATAAAATATCAATAGGCCAAGGTCTAGTCAAACTTTTCGGTAGCAAACTCGCATAGGTTTTCGAACGTCTTTCGTAAAAAATGGTTGAACAAAGAAAACGTTTGGTGGATTATATCGGAAAAGGGCGGAAACATTTTCGTATACTCAACTCACACTGTGCTAGACTTGTTTTTGTAACGTTATACCTTTACAAAGGAAATCAAATTAATGAAGTCTTGAATCCCATTACTACGTTCATTAACGTAATTATTGCTTCACAGATTACTGGAATTAATAGCAGATAGAGGAGATGCTAATTGGAGGCAGTACGCATACTGGCTATTATTATAGATATTAACTTGCTATTATGTTCTTCTTTTGATCTTCCGAACAGTTTATTATACTACACCATAGACTCTGCTGTGACCATTAAGGCGCAAGATGTACCTGCAACCATTACGGCTGTTGCAGCCAACCCCATCGGTGCTTCTCTAGCCTGGGACTTCTTCCGAGCAAACTACGAGCTATTCCTGGACAGGTAGCTACATCATCACATTTCTATCGTTTGCCGGCGCCTTCCTCTCTCGTTGAAAACGCACAATTTGACTTGCTTTAAGCGAAATCGAAAACTACTAACGCGGAATTCAAATTGTCACTTTCTGACAGATTTGGAGACAGCTTGTTTCATTTCGGAAGAATTGTTCAAGGAGTGACCAAACCATTCACTTCAGAGTTCCATCTTCAAGAGGTAAGATCGGGCGGTGTTTGGCTGTTTCCATTATCAAAGCCAACAGCAGTCACTATTTTAATATACAAATAATGAATGTTTGCGAGTGCAATGGAAAGAATAATTTCATTCGGTGACAGATGAAATGTTCCATTTCACGAGAAATTATTCTTTCTATTGCACGAACGTAAAACATTCATTATTTGTTTTATATAACACCTGAATAAATCCTCGTCATCTGATTGGTTGACTTTTAATAGCCAATTTATTCAGGTTAAAAATTGTTTACAAGTTTGACAAGTTCAGAGTTATCCTATTATGCAAACTGTTCAACAGGTTGAGAACTATAATATTCAATTTATCTCACCTTAAAACTTTTCCATAAGTTTAGAACTCAAACAGTTCAATAAGTTCAGAACTTTTATTGCCAATTTAAACACCACAGCGCCACCATCGGCAACATGTGCAGTATAACAGTGCAATGGTACTTCTAATCACAGTGCAATAGTACTACCATTGCAATGCGCGTTGCGCGCCACGCGCGCGCCGTGCATTGGTACGAATAATTCAAGACATGTGATCAACGATCCACCAATCAGATGACGGGGATTTATTCAGGTGTTGTATAACATTGAATATCGACTGTTGTTGGCTTTATTCACGCACTTTATCCCTGTAAGCAATGTATCTGTATTGTGAGCTTATTATACGCATTCCCGTCTTTGATGTGTATTAATGCAATAAGCCAAACAAGGGTCGTACTTGTTGGAATGGTTTGGATAAAATTGGATTCAAATGATTTTAGCTTGAGTAGGCCCCAAGTTTGTAAGATAGGGATCACTGACACCTGCGATTCTCCCTTTGTTTTGATGAACAGCTTGAGAAGTTTATAGCAGAGCATCCTGATCAGGGGACTGGAGCAGCTGCCTTTGCTCAGGCTGTGGAAGAGATTCAAAGCAACGTACGTTGGATGGAATCCCATTATGACGAGGTCAAGACTTGGCTGGATGAGAGCGTTGCTACATAACTGACAACTCTACTAAAGGCAATCATGTTACCCGACATATATAATGTCCTGATAATCAGCACCGGCCTACGTTGTCCATGTTACCTTGTTTTGATATTACGGTCCCGTTAACTAATAACATAGTGATACATGTATATAGGCAATTCAATTGTTACTTAAACAATAATACGCAACGAAAACGTGACCTTTGTACAAATTACAGTGAATTAAAATGATATACATGTATTCTAAAAAAAAAAATACAGTGAAATGGGTAAAGAATGTATTCAGACCTTCGGAATTAATTAAATCAATGGTGCTTTGAACCATCAACATTTGCATCAAGCTTAAATACCCATTGATAAAATTGTGTAAAAAAATCGTATGTACAGGGCGAGTAAAAAATAGAAAACCCGAATGTCGGGTTCTGCATGAATGAAGTTCTGCATGTAGCACTTTCAAAATCTAGGATATGAAAGCCCAATTCATAAGCCTTCTTTTGGTGCAAGAATCATTCAAATCGCTCATGTACTTTTCTAGTTGCGGAATTTTAAACCCAAACAAGTCTAAAGTTCTGTCCACAGATCACACAAAAGAAAGTGTTCTTTCGGCAAACGAAAAGAATTCACGTACATTCCTATGCAGGCCCCCTAGGGGATCCGTGGACTAACACGACCGCACCGTTGCAATTTCAAGAGGAGGGGGATGGGGCGTGCCTCAGGATCCGTCAGACAGGGTTTAAATCATAGAGCTATATTAAATTACTATGGTTAAAATCCACTTTTAAGTGGGTTTCTTTACCCTGTGCATTATACCAATGACAACAAATGAAGAAATTCCTTGTTATTGCATTATTGTTTAATGTATAACAATCCACGTAATTACATATGACAACTGATTTACCTACAAACAGCATCGGAATTATAACAATTTAACCATTTCCTGTGCTGTTACAGTTGTTGATGATCACTTCACACATTCATTAAACATCTAACGTGATCACGTATAATAGGGTTTCCCGTCCAATTTCAACTAGCTGGCTCATTTCATTAGTTGAACATCTCGACAACAATGTTCATTCAAAGAGCTTTTACAGCACTGATCTCAACATGAAACATAATTTTTATACAAAAACTAGGACGAATTACAATTCTATCGTGATTTAGGCTACACTGCAAATAAGATGAATTTTATCGGTTCATTTTTAATATTGAAATTATCCACTTAAAGAAAATGTATTTCCCGTGCTATTTTCGAGTTTCATTCAGCCAAAACAAAAGTTATTCACTTTTGAATGAAATATCGACCGAAAAAAATCGGTCCAGTTAAGTTATTGAATTATTACTTTTCGATTATTAATTTCGATTTCTTGGCTGCCAGACAATAATTCCGTTCTCGCTCTCTCTTTTTTCGGAGGTTTGCAGACATTAGGTTGCAGACATTAAAAAAAATGGGAAAAAGAGGTTTTTTTCCGTCTGAATCAAAAATCAAGTTGAATTTATTAATAGAAATTTGTTGAAGAGCACGGGAACGCAACTCTAAAGGGACACTTTCTTCCCAAATGTGCACTTTTTGGCGAACTATATTAGTTAGAAAGATTGCTACATGTTACTGTAAAATATAACAATTGTTGACTGCTGTCATGTGGAATACTTTTTTAAACACCCGAGGCGCACATAATATAGCACCCTCGGCAAATTTGCTCCGAGGGGGTCAAAAACGACATATTCCATATCACAGCAGTCAACAAGTGTTTTGTTATATCGTGGCAATTAGCAAGATACATGTTTTTAACTCACTCAAGAAATAAATTAAATCACTGTAGCGTCACTGTCACGTTTTGATTGCTGTGAGCTGTCCTGCCAGCTTAGAGATTGAGAGAGATAGCAGTTTTCTGCTGCGAGGCGCGCGGGCCATAATCCTACACAAGTGAAGTACCATTCACGCGCGCGCTATTATTCAACGCGCTGTATTTATGAAAGTTTTTATGCTCGTTACGTAGTGGTATGTACCGGTATATGGTTATGAGGTTATTTATATGCAACGCAGTGTATGAAGTAAACGGTATGGAATAGACACCAGGCCATTCTAGACTGTATATAACACAGCATGTTATGCGGCGTCATTCTGACAGTTTGGTTCAAACTTGGATGGTTTTACTCACTGCTGGATATAGTAGACGTTACCAGTTAGATGTAAACAAACGAAGTTTCCAATATTTTCTCCGTAGGTCAGACATTTTTTGATATTTGTGTATATCCAGAACTTTAAAACAAGGCAAGTAGGCCTAAACAATTAAAAGCACTAATTTCGGCGGTCACTTGTTGAATGTATACCTTTAACCCAACGATGTTGAATAACAAAATTCAAGTACTTTACATCAAATTTGCAATGAATAAAACTTAATACGTTGGTTATTGTTAGAGATCAACCATCATTACGTTTGAGGTGAATTTTTAAATAAGTAAGCAAAATATCGCACTTTTATGTTGATATTAGGCCTACTAGACTTTTCAATTTCGGTCGATATTACAAAACATTATTATGCCATTATATTACAATTTGTATATACAAAACTGTAGCAACTAGTAATACATGTATTTCGTTCATCAACACACTCTGTATGTTGTTTTTATGATTAAATGTTTACTAAAATTACACCTACATAATTAAATGATGTTGTTGCATCTTGAGCTTCAATATTTGTGAATAATTATGTGCACTTCACAAATACACAATAAAGATATGAACTAAGAATTGTGACTTTGATTAGCCTGAAGAAAACTTCCTACCTAGAGGAATCAGGGAATGTAAACATATACGCTAATTCAACTTCTACTTAACTTCTAAAAACTGGGAGGTTCTGAACTTACGGAAAAGTCAAATATTCATGGAAAGAATGTTGCAACCTGACGCTGCTTTTTTTCTTCATATGTCATCTCAATGAAGGTCAGTCATTGCAAAAATGACGATAAGATATGAATCTGGGACCGAGAAACATTTCCAATTTTGACAGGAAATACTTAGAAAATTGTCTTGACTCTCCGTAGACTTTGTACACAACCGCTGAAGTAGCGTCAGGTTGCAACGTTCTTTCCATATTAATTAATAGATAACATGTGAATGATAGGGCTACTGTATCCGCTGGTTCTGGTGACCTGTAATGTCTCTAAGCTGTCATTGCATGGGTTGTATACGTATCCAGTCACCCGGAGCCATTACTTCCATGTGCACATATTAAAACATACCTACAGAATATGTAATGACAATTGACTTTCAACTGTGGCTTTCACAAGATTTTGTTAAAGGGATTTATAGCGGTCCCTTGAAAAGGGTTGTGGGGATGAGCAAAGGTTACTGAACATTACAGTTTGCTTAGCTGGAGACAATCACGCTGATAATTCAGACAAGTTATCATGAACTTTCTCCTGTAAGAAATACATCTGTCTTACTTTTCATGCTGACTAGTTTTCAGAAAAGTGCTTTAATTCTTAAAAGTGAAATATGCATAAATTGTACAATAGCAAAGCACAACTGCTTTTATTAACAAACACTTTCTGCAAAGCACCAATACTTATGTAATGCCAAGTTTATATTGCACAGCATGTTGCAAAGTATTCCCGAAAATGTGAAATAAACTTCCGAATCTTGCATACCTTACCATTAGGAATATCATTAAAAGACGTTTTAGTTAACTTACATGAAGGTTATCAACATTCTAAATAATGTTCCAAGATTGTTTCATTAGTACTTACTCTATAACAACACACCACAGTGATTCAGACAATCTCATCCAACTCTATAATGAATTCTTTTGCTGTTGTAGCCCATGTGGGCCGTGATATTCAACAAATTCGATTTTTTTTCTTCAAACGAATTCTCAACTTTTATGTTTTATATTAACCCCCACCCCCCCCATGTCTTTTCTTTTTGGGCGTCTGCAACCCTTTGAAAAGGGCTTTAATTTAGGGTTGCTCTGGCAAACCAATAGATCTGCCCAGTGAGCAGACCAATTTTAGTTTGTACATTCATCCTTGATAGTAAGTTGGAAACCACTTTGTCCTGCAAGAACTGAATTATGTTTGGCGGCAAATAACTTGAATTTTGCCAAGTAATTATTCCAAAACAAATCATGGACTGATTTTTTTCATTCAATGTCTCATGCATAGGTGAACAATTTGTTTAATGCTCGAATATAACAATAAAAAAAAAACCCCTATTTTTCAGTGTGAAATTCGAAGAAAAGTACAGACAATACATCTTTGAAAGACCTTTCTGTAACTTGCAGGATCTGTGCATGTGGCTTGTTACATTACAGACCCAAATGATTACATTTCAGGTTCATATCACATTGTGGGTGTATTGTTACATGATGGACCATTACCACTTCTAGTACTTGCATTTTTTCACGAACAAGTTTCCAAACAGATCCTGTCCTTGCACAGGAATGATCACTGTGGCCCACACTGTGGTAAACAGCCCCAGTTGCAAACTTGGATGGCTCAAGCTGGGTATCCCATGTTAGCACACAAGATGGTAGATGATACAGCCAGCATCCATCAGACAACTCAGCCCTCATCATCTGTACTGTTGCCACTAGATGGGGATTCTCGTGAACGTCGACGCTCTAATTACAAATTAAATCCAGAGTCCATCATTTGCAGCTATCCCAAAAGTAACTGGTGTAATTATTGTTGAAAAACATACATGGTTGAAAGATAGTAAGGGGACTAAACTCCCTGTGAAATTATTCTTTCTGGCAAGATGTCATTTTGAAGAAATCAACGAAAGAAGGCCTTTCCAACGGTGCGTCTTAAGAAGCACCATTGGAAATTTCCATGAGCAGTTCGTTTTTTTTATTCGGCGAAGCACGCGCAAGCGTTGACACGATGCACACGTGCGCGCAGTTGCTGTAATTCGTCGGATCGGTGCGCGACATCGCGTCACCGGCTCAGTGAGAACGTGTCTCGGACGATTATTCAGGCCCAATTCAAAACATGATTCAGCAACTTTTGATTTGATATCAAGATCCTAGAATGTTGTTTTTCTCGAAATATACAGCTAAAGCTGAGCTGAAACTTCATCAGGTTAGTTGTTCAGCACCCTTCTCTAGATTTTGAGCACTTTTGTTGCTTCAAACGAACAAAATGCACAAATTACAAATGATGGACAATACCTTTAAACAAACCTACAATTTTAGAATCTTGAAAAAGTTTGTGACATCTCAAGATTCCACAATAAATTTTGTTTCATGGCAAACTGAAAATGTGGACTCCACTTTTTTTTACACAATCTAAGTACCACCCAGGTTTGTCTAGAATCAATGATTTATGACCTTTGACCCTCAAAATACATCATACTTCCCATACTTACTGATGGTTTAGGTATCTATACGAAGATTGTGGAGGATTTCTCCAAACTAACCTCCACAAGTACTGAAATGTGGCATACAATGGTCTGACCTTCAACACAACACCCAACAACGTTTGTTTTTTTCAATAATCGGATGTTTTTCACAAAATTATCTGAAGATGAAGTATTTTTTACGTCCCCAAAATCCATTAGTTATGTGAACTCATCTAAGTGTGGGGAAAAAAGAATGCTTATGGGATATTAAGTCACAGGGCAAAGGGCATTTATAGCAAGTTTCAGCAATTTTATAGCATTTATTTTTTTTGACATTTCTCTGGAACTTGTTTCCAGTGGTTTTGAATTATAAATTCCATGGACTTATGTCATAGTTTAGGTATGAAGTGTCCATAAATAGGCTATATGGTAGTTTCTTGACGGACATACCTTCTCGGAGATGATTGAGGGACGCTAGCATACGCAACATGAACGATGGTGGCACTGTGATAGTATCCCTTGTCTCATCAAGCATTAATTCATTGATTCTCATCACCTGTAAGTCAATAAAACAATGGACAAGGCATTATATTCTGAATAACCTTGCTAATAACTGAGTGATACAAATGCTCACAATCACAGTGACCAATGATTGCATTTACGGCACAACTAACCATACCATTAGGTAAGGATTGAACTGACTTACATACCTCAGTAGCCTCTTCAGGTACACTAGGCACCTCTGCTGATGGAGACCATAGCTTGACATCATAGTCAATACCACTTGTAGCTAACACTGTACAGATCAAAATGTAAAGAATATTATTCACTAATTATAAATAGCTGAAAGATCTACTGCCCATGCTCTTGATTTTCAAATTGCATCTTTCATTGTAATGAAAAAAAAAACCCTACTTTTTTTCTTATTGTGGTGTCTGTAACCCTCTGAAAAGGGCTTTTGGGTTGCTTTTTGGACCCTAACAGATCTGCCCTGTGAGTGGTTCCTGGACTTTACATGTGTTATAGATACTGATAGGGGGCGGGAACCAGTCTACCCAGTGAAAACCAAATTATTGTCAGGTCGCAAGCAATTCAAACTTTGTGAAATAATTACACCATAACATTAACTTAACGTGGGCCATTTGTTTTGCTCAATGTCTCGTACAAAAACCAATAACTTTTGGATTGCTAGAAATAACAAAAAATTGAGTCTGTGTCATAGGTAAAGATCTCTAGAAAAATAGCAATGAAAATTGCATCTATTTTGCTGGTAGAATCTGAGAAAAAAAAAACCACCAACAGTGCACCTTTAAAATTCCAGTAAGCTGAATTCTCCTAGACAAACATTGTGGATAAAGTGTAACAAACTACAAACAGTGTACAAGAGTTATGGGGTACAAGAAACATTATGGACAATGGGACCGCACAAAGGAGCTTGAGATTTGAATAGAAAAAAGGACAGAAACAAAGCACAGAACAAAAAGTAGGGAATAATGGTACCTTTATTTGAAGGGTGTGCTTGTGTGTAATGTGGTAACAAACTGGCCTAGACAACTGTATGGGCAAGAAAACTCTATCTCTAGACTACTCACAATGATCAAATGGATGTGGCTGGACACAATTGACTACGTGTCTATCGCCCTCTAGCAGCATGACAAGCTCAGCAGTGTGTCGATTCCAAATGAAGACATGACCACAATCTGATCCACTCAGCACAAAATTACTACCCCAGAAGTTGGCTTGTTTAATCTGTGAAGAATTGATATAGAATGATATGACAAATCAGGGAATTTAAAAATGTGTGATAAATCTTTTCAATCATGACCGAAAACAAAACCCAAAAAATAACCACGCTTTTTAGCGAAAAAGACAAATATTTAATAATAATAATAATAATTTGGGAGGCTAATCATCCTTACTCGCAGCTGGGATGCTGAATTGCGAAGGACGCGGCTACAACGTGGTCGGGCCGCTGGCACGACATCGTGGGCCACATCGACCCATAAATGACCACGGAGCACAGCCTGAGATCGAAAGTGTTTAATTTTTCCGGAGGGAGGAAAACCGGAGGGCCCAGAGAAAAACCCTCGTGGCACAGGAGAGAACCAATGCACAGCTCTACTCACATGTGATCCGTGGCCAGGATTCGAACCGTGGTCACCTTGGTGAGAGGCGAGCGCTTTACGCACAAGCCACCCATGCCACCCATTTCCTGTGGTCTATCTAACAATGCAACAACATGTGTATGTAAATGGTTTTTGGATGGGGGATGCTATGTGGGTTTTGGGATATTCAGAGCCTTCCAATCCAAAACACAACAGAAGGGATTGTCATAACTGCATTTTTGTCAAATCATAATTCAAATCTCTACGGAATCCTCAACCAAAACATCAACGATCTTCTGTCCTTTTCACCCACACACTGCCATGAACTTGGCTTCCTCCCTCCTTCGCAAAAATAAGGTGTTTTGGATGATATGTCATAATTCTTGGAAAACAGACCAATCAATAAAGTCCTGGTAGTGCGATGTTTTGATCACAGCCGTGAGTGAGGCAATCAAATATCCACCAAATATCTGACATGCGTGCACTTACACATGATGCACTGGGCCAGCCATAGAAGTAGACATTCACATGAGAATAAATAATGTCATACAATAAAGTCATGGACAGACTGACAGACCAACTTGACCAAATCTTCCCTAAATTGCGACGATCTCTATGGCATGGCTATATTATCTGGTTGCCAATTTACCATTTGTCTTGAATTGCGATGACCTTTACATATCTTGACCCCAGGCATGTCTACATTACTCGGCACCTACAAATTAAACTCACCATTCTGACATTTATACACCATCTTGACCTTTGGCATGTCATCACAGGTCACAAAGTCGCCATTGTTCTACAAACATGGCGACCTTTATCCACCATCTTGACTTCTGACATGACTACATTACTGAAGCGCAAACTCACCATTGTTCTTGAATTGCGATGACCTTTATACACCATCTTGACTTCTGGCATGACAACATTACTATGCTGCATCTCCCCTTTTTCGCGTGCCTCTCCTTTTTCTCGTGCTTCTCTACGTGCTAGGAATAACTCACGTAATCTGGACTCTGTCACACTGGGTGGGCGAGGCCGTCTGGTATCATCATTGCTACATTGAAACATTGTTTACTGTAACATATAGGTTTGGAAATGAGTTCAAATCATCTTTCCTGATATCTCTACCATGCTACTTACAACAATCTGCTGTTGCCATTGTCTAATAATCTTCACACTGTGTATATGGGAGTCAATACGTCAGCTTACAGTGATGCCAACTAGAGATAACAAGCTGAAATATGATGCCATAGTGTTTTTTTATATTTTTATTCCATTTATTATAAAAGGCCATTTATTCTGCAATCAAAGGGTTAACATGCTTAACTTGTACATAAGAGTTTTATACATTTGTGGCATTTAAGCAAAAGGTCTACACAACTTATTCTCTACACAACTTATTTGGATACAGTAATGCACTTGGCAATGATCTCAATATGGGCAGAAGCCAATTTCACCGAGTTGCAAAGTGAACAATTACGGATAGGTTGAATGACTGAATGAAGTGTTGGGCAAGTCCTGATTGGCTAATCCAACCACTCCAGGGTGTCAATGTAAGCATTCCGAATGTGTTTTTCTCTCCTTCATTCAATCAGTTGAATAACACAAAATAATCCCCAAACTTGACACATTTCACTAACCACAAAATGCACCATTTGCTCTGTGTTCGTGACAAGTCGTATGAAACCTGGTAATGTTACCTTTCATGACGTCGACGTCTTCTGCGCAGTCGGGGTGGCCTCAGGATGAGATCCTCATCACTATCACTCTCACTACATGTAATAGATGGACTCTCAGGAGAAATATCCCTACAAGGAAATCAGAAATTACAGCTTTGGTTTTACATCCTGTTACGAGTTTGAAATACAAATGAATATACCCAAACAAACTAATTGACAAGTGCTTTAATAGGAATGATCTCTTTCTTCTATTATGCACGTCAACTGCTAAAACTTGATTGTCAAAAACATCAAAATAAAATGAAAAATTGAAGGATTGATTAAGGATTACCACTAACATACCCTGAAGCCACATTAGATGCTGTTGCACCCATCAGTCTCTCTGTACCTTGGCTTGATGTACTAGGTACCTCACTGCTAGGTGGTGGAGTACCAGCAGGACCGCTCACACTAATACGACGTTGTTTTTGACTTATAACACTATACTGACCAGTTCTTCGTTCCTGTCAACAGAATGAATGGCAAAATCTGTGGAACTAATTAGCAAAGGATCTACAAAGTTCAGACAATTTTGCTGAAGAAAAAACAGGTTACGAGCCAAAATGCCATGCAGTGTATATTCATGTATACTGATGACTGGTTTGCAGTGGATTATTGCTAAGCATATAAGCAGTACCGTCTCCTCGGCAGTTGAACAAAATTCAACCACAACCACCTGGTATAACAGGGACTGTGGTAGGATTACTGATTGGACCTGACAGATAAACAGTCATTTAAAGCATTTCAAAGTAATGACAGTTGTGCATCGTCAGTCCCCGAGAGATAATTGCTTTCCATTTCCTTTGTGTGGTCAATTGATCTCTTAGGCCCCCCCAAAAAAGTCTCCGGTTTCTGGTATGGAGCTTGCCCAAAAAGTGGTGCGGCGACGCGGCTTTTTTTTTTTTTTCACCTTATATTTTTGCTTCAGATTTAGGCTGACGACTGCAAATGGTGCCCGACTAAACTTAGTGCAAATATATGGGAGTCCAGAGAGGCCACATAAAGCTTATTCTCGACCATAACCCAATCTAAAAACACGTTAAAATTGTGCAGCAGCAGGATTCCAGTCAAACCAGTGAGTTTGGCAGTTTTGAGACATCATCTTTCATTGAAAAAAAAACCTTTTTCATTTTGCCGATGCGCATGGCTACGGCGACGCGCGCGCATACCAGAAACCGGAGACTTTTTTTGGCCTTAGTACCAATGTGTGCTATCCTTGCCAGTCAACATGTGTATTATGTGAGTATGACTGACCTGAGGATTGGTATCTTCCATTCTGTCTCGCAGGGCAAATATTGAAGACTGGTTTCCTTGACCATGACTCTGCTCATCAGGTTTGACTTGTCTCAAGTTCCCATTCCCTTGATGGATTACTACTTCAGCCGGCATGCTGGTCTCCATAGGACTGCTTTGGAGTGATGTGTGACTAGAACCTTCTAAAGTCTTGGGTGATTGTGGGGCCGTTTCCAACTCCATCGGTACTTCTCCCTCCTGTGTCGTTAACTGTGATTGTGTTGGACCCTCATCCACTTTTGAAAGATTTTCAGTACTGCTGCTTAACCGCGAGTCTCTATTTGCAGGCACGTCTTTTGTGAGTGGTCTTGAGCTATCAGGTTCAGCAGCTCTTGATGGGATTGGATTCAAGTCATCATTGTTGCTACCCAGTGTTTTCTTAGGGATTTTGTCTGACTCTGAATCACTCGAGCTTGACTCATCGCCTGATGATCCTTCCCTCGTCAGCTTTCTCTGGTTCTTGCTGTTCCTCTTACTACGTGACTTCCCAGACGTGTCTTGATGATCTTTGTCCAAGGCAGGATCGTCGGTCAGACTACTTGAAGATGCTGAGCTATTTGGACTTCTCTTTCTTTTCTTGGAGTCAGTCTTGGTGTTGTCATCAGTCTCATTCTGCTGTATGCTATTGCTACACATTTTGTCTTCAGTATCTTTACCATGACCCTCAGATGCTGATGGTTTATTACTGTCATCAGCTCTATTGTCTCTAGGTGTTATCTGCATACATGATTGCACACTGCTTGATATTGCACTGATACCTTCCACTGATACTGCTTCAACCATTTCACTACCTTCACGATGCAACTTCTGAGTTTCACTCACTTTTGAGACGTGGTTATCTGGTCCTTCTGATGTATCGCAACTTTCAGATTGGTTCCTCTGTGCACCTCTCTGATCTGAGTCCTTGGAAGCTGTGTCATGTATGGATGGAAGTTCTAATGTTGAGACTTCATCATCATGTCTTTGGTTTGTGCTACTTGTTGACGCCTCATCAGCTGCAGTACTTTGTTTGTTTGCTTTGATTCGGGACGTCATTGCATCTTTAAGTCGTTGTTGGATAGCTGCACTTGCTGCTTGTTCAGTGGAGGTTCTCTGGAGAGAGCTGAAGCGGGAAGTCTGCCAGATAAAAATAAAATTAAAAGCAGTGAATTGATACTCTAATTGCACAATAGTGTTTGCTTTGCTGTGCTGTTACTACTTTACATAACTATTGCAAAACTTACAGCTTGCTGTGCTGTAGATGGTCCAGCTGCATCACTTGATGGTTGTTCTTGAGAACTAGTGGTTTCAGCTGATGTTGCAGCGGAGGCTGTACGTCTAGCATGAGAAGATGTGGAATCATCTAACCAACGTGTTAGCATCTCAGACATACGTTGGATGATGGTAAGACGTGGTTGGGACTCTGCTGTAAGTAAACAGAAGACTGAAGACTTATTCACATTATTTCCAAAAGTCAGAAATACTCTCTTATTCATTTGTGAAATGTCTTTTACTTCAAATCAGACAGTTGTTGGTCTTGTCGCCCAGTCAAATTGTTACCTGAATGTTATGACTGTGTTCCCCCCAATAATCAGGACCTACCGATAGTGTTTCAAGAATGCTTCCTTAGATCTTGAGATTGAGGACATTGACTGACCTTGTTCACCTCTTGGCCTTGCTTTAGGTCCAGTATCAGACCAGTCACCACGGAGACGTAACCTCTTGATTGGATTGACCACAGGATTCTGCAATCAATCAAATTAATGACTCATGTGCAGACTTCAACTTAAGACTGATGGAAAAAAGTTTGAAAAGAAGCCCACATGTATGATGCTTATATGGAACAAATAATTCCAAAACAAGACAATGTCAGCATTAAAAAAGCAAACATTATGGTTAATATTGGCAACATTTCTGCTGCATGTCCACATTCCGGTACAATGCCTGTTCCATCCAGACTAAGACACTGTGGATTTGTGCACCATCAATTGACAGCTGGTCATAAACGAAGGCAATTAATAGAGTCATTACCTCATCAACATCAGCCATGGCTGAGCCTCCTGATGCCTCAAGACCCATCTCGGTTAACCCTTCATGATGTTCATATACTGTCTGCTTCTTGAAAGTATCCGTAGCAAACAGGTAGATGTAATCTGAAGAGTAACTGACTAGTATCTCATTACCAGCTGTAGAATACTGGAGAGATGTCGGCCGATTGTACTTATTTTGAAGATGTGGAGGACAGAAACGGCAGAACATGCCTTGGACGCCTCGACCACTGTAGTTACCTATTAGCAAGTAGAACAATACACATGCCATCTCACAGAAAGTTGCCTCTGTGTTTTATGTACAGTTTGAGCGTAAGTTAAATTTCTTTACATAAGAACTTAGTGATAGTTATCTATTCAACTCAGCCATGGTGGTCATTTCAACAACTCTTGAAGTAAAACAGGTAATGAAATCATGGAAACAAACTATCTCACAAAGCTGCAGACCATAACCCAGAATCAATACTTAGCTTATCTGTATGCAGATTTGAATTGGTTTTACAATAAGAAGTTTGTTTATGGATTCTTACCTATTTTGTTCTTTTTCTTCTTTTCCTTTGTTACGCTACATTTCTCCAAAGTAGGCTATTATTACTGGTATCTTTATTTTTCTTAAACTGTCTTTCTGCCTGATATTAGTTCTTATGTCTTTCAACATATTTATACTTCAAAGGTTTTTTATGTGCATATTGGGAAGACAAATTTCACTTTTGTAGTTTTTTAATTGTGACAAACCATCTCCAACCCATCATAATTTTCTTTGTGACATCAGAAGATTATTTCAAAGTTCAATAAGAAAGTGTTTAGATCATCATCATATGATTGCGTATTCATGCTGATGGGTGAACATATTCATGCCTTAAGGCTTTGAAAAAGCCGCAATAACTTGTTTGACAAATTCAAGGTACAACGGCAAGTAAATACTTTGATCCTGTGTAAGTATAATTATGTACCACTATTAATAATTTGTTACAGGTATTGACAATTCACCTGTTGATCGTGTTCCAAGCATCCTGCGATCAAAGACACGCACAGTGCTGTCTGAGCAACCAACACCAAGATGATAAGGCATGATGGGATTGATTGCAAGTGATGTCACAGGACGACGACAGTTGATTAATACATCCTACACAAAAAGACACATCCAAAGTCAAAGTATGATACCTCAGCTGATGATACAGACAAGGTGTTATGTGCTGATATTGTTTGTAACCCAGGGCGGATTGCAATTACTGGTCTTAAAGCTCTGGCTGTCAGTCGGTCTAAAACAGGATGACCATTTTAGCAGATTTTTGGCTAGATCTGACGGATTTTTTATGCAAAAATTGAATCTAGGGCAAAATCTAGCAGAAGGAATATTTCATCAGATTTCTAGCAGAATTCTGTAAAATTGGTGATCCTAGCAGAAAAATATTGCAGATGTGTTTTGAACAAGCTTCAATCACTTCAAAACAAACCCTTGAACAGCGGGGACAGGCAGGCCAGTCTAAGCATTGAGGTTCCCTGATGTGTACAACTATAGGCATGGAAGCCAGGCTAGACACGTGCCAGTTAAAAAAAGAAAGAAGATACTTAAAAGGAAATGTTACAACATCTACATGTAGGTTTAAGTGTTTATAATGTGTTTGGTGTATAATTCTGGCAGATTTAGCAAGATTTTTGTTATATCTAGCAGAATTTTGAAATACATCTGGCAGAATTTTGCAATTTTTATCTGGTCACCCTGGTCTAAAAGTAAGACCATTTCAATAACACGGTCTAAGTGTGAAGACAGTCTTGAAATAGTTAGCCTGGGTTTGGGCTGGCTTCAACCAGTCTAGGCCTATATTTATTGTGATGATAGAATCATAGCAGAGCACTGTTTGGAGTGAGGATTTCTTCCAGGATAGACATGATAGACTGATCTTCCACAGGGTGAGTCAATAGAAAGTCACCTGGATTCATTATTGTTTTCCCCTTAAAAAAACAATTAAAAAAAATATATACACAAATGAAACATGCATATAAGCATGTTCTTCCACTCCTGTACATTCTTTTTACTTAAATTGATCCATTTTATAAGAAGTTATGCAATATGCATGTTTTACTAAAAGAACCAATTTTTACGCCTGTCAATGAAATGCTAAATGCTTTGAACTTTGAAGCTTTACAGCTGAGTGAGAACTAGATATTACATTCAAATACAATTAAGATTTTAATAATTCGAGTCAAAACTGAAACATTATTTTTAGATCAGATTTTGAGTTTTGTATATTAGGAACAAATGAAGTCTTTTACTGAAATGGTGACGGTGATGTTTGTCCTTTTTCCTGTGCAAGTTTTCGTTCATTCATGGAGGTAGGAAAATCCCCATGGTTCATTGTATTTAAAAGGTATTAATCATGCGTATTGAAATATGATCAGTGGTGGACAGCTGATTTTGTTGTGGTATTTCTATTAAAACAGAGTGATTACATTATGCAAATTTCGTGAAATTTAAGTTACTAGTCAATAACATGTGTTTTATTCCCATGTTATTTCAATTTAATGGAGTGAACTACATATTCTACCTCATTCCCTTTCTTTTTGACTCGCCCTTTAGATAAATTTGACACTGAAACTACGAGTACACATTTTCTCGACATGCATTGACAGATTTTGATTTGCACCACACGAACGAAAACATGCAGATCTTCTGACATTGCAATTAAGTGAGCACTACGGCCTGTAACCATGGACCGTTTGTTTGTGAATCATTACTCTTCAAGTAAGCAGGCTAAGTAAAGACTGGCTTACTACATGTGTCTCATGCAAGACCATCTAAGTGCGACAGTGGACTGATTAATCTTGATGGCTAAGACCATGATTGATATGCAATCCGCCCCTGGTATGGGGGCATGGCAGGCAGAAGTCATACAAGATCTTGCTGAACATATGGGCTCCGTGCACAAGTACTCTTTCAGCGGCCAGAAAAGACCTAGACTGGTTCCCGGTCCATCCTTTGTGTATTTCGAATGATCAAAGGTTACTAGGGGCAGGGATTAGTCTGGGAGACCATCACAAGTTAAATTTGAATGTATTCGCACGCCGACGACGCCTGCCTCTCACACAAAGACGCTGTGGCTAATAGCTTTTGTACATTCAGGAAGTCGTGTGTACTTCGCGCGCGAACCAGTACAGTACAGTATCCACACACTGCGTGTCCCGTCCATGAAGCTCTCAAAAGTGCTAAAAATGCGCCCTCTTTTGCTGGCGCACAGAGCCCATACCTCAAGCTGTGTAGTATAAACATTCAATAATAGGAGGCTAAAGCCATGGAATGACAAGTAACCTCTGTCGTCAATAATGACAGAAGAGCAAGCATCAAGGATAAGACCTTGTCAACACCAGCCAACAACTAAACCTACTACTACAGCTGCTATGGCCTGTCTCATATAGGTATATGCCTACAGTACCACACGAAACATGAACTGCCTTGTTGAAATCCTTGTTTTCAAAGCCAAGCTAAGAAATAGCTCCTTTATTTGAGGTGAGTTGCACTTACCTCTCGACATTCTTCTTTCATACATTTATTCTTGATACGAAGATCAAACCATCGGACTGTGCCGTCTTCACCACAAGACAGGAAAGTGTATGGGTCATTAGGCACAGTCACTACCTAAGAATAGAGAAGAACAATCAAACTAATAGAAATAGCAATATAAAACAAAAAGGATTCTATCAGGTAAGTCACCAATGTGATTACATGTTTGGAAATGATTTTATGTAATAATATACTGTTCCTGTATCCTTCCAGACTAGTTTTAACAAACAGAAAACTCAAAGTACATGTACCTCATAAGCAGTTCCATAATGGCAGTTGAACATGTGTTCACCGTGATGTGCAGTGTTTTCCACATCATTGAATGCTATCTGACCGTCCCCAGAGCAAGAAACAATCTGATAAAAAAGCAAATCATCTAAAGTGTTCAAATATGGACTACACATATAATATCGGGAAGGGGTATGCTGAGGCATAGTAGCAAAAACGTTGATGTTTAGCTACAGTTTTGTCCAAGAAGATGGGTCACACTCAGATGTGAGCCACTGGTGATCTATCACTGAGGGCTGACTGGCTCACAATGACAGTACAATGCACCGGCTATAGCTATAGCAGAAGATGCATTCATGTACATGACATAGATAAAGAGCTGTGTTGAACCTGATTAGCATCATGAACATGTCAAGAATGTAACACAGATCCAATGAGACACTCCATGAGTAACATCTGTAAAGTATTTCAGCAATAACCTTGGACAATATCATCATCTGCTTTTAAATTGTGTGGGCTCCATGCACAAGTACCCTCTTCAACAGTTACCAAAATGGTGTTGAGGAGACCACTTGGAGTTGGAGGGACATTCAAATGCACTGCCAACTGCATATGTGGACGTTCACAGGAATCCATGTTCAGAATAAAGTTAGTGGTATGTACATGTACTTTGCACCATTCTCGTGCAAACCAGTACGTGCAAGCGATGCGTCCCTTCAACCTGGGCTTTCAAAAGTGGTCACAGAAGTGCAATCCACTGTTTGTACAGTCCGTAAAACAATTTAACAACTTATTTTAACAAGAAGTAAAAAGGCTTGAATGAAATTAGTGTACCTGACTATCATTGCAACACGGCATGAATTTAGCACTGAAGATATTAGCTCGATGGCCAGATGCTATGCTTGTGAGTTTCTTGCGTTTGTATGGATCAGATATGCACAGTTGTTTGTCATCAGCACCTGATAGGATTCTATAGCCACTATCATTCCAGCAGATAGTATTCACCTGAAAAAGAGAACATTTACCCCGAATGTTACACAAATTGTATAGTTTGTTTGAGATATGTGTACCTGGTATCACAGAAACTGAAAGAACAATTATTCATGACAAATGTACAGCTATCAGTATGCACTTTCGTGACGGAGATACATATGCATGATGTAAACTATGGTGTATTCAAAAATCAAATCATAGGAAAAACACATAGAAAATCAAAATCATAGAAAAAACATCTGAAGGTTAGCAAATGAGGCGAAGCCGAGGGTACCATTTTGTTTTTACTACTTGTTTGAGTCTTTAAAAAGTAAAAATATGGTAATTAAACGTTTTGTTTTTTTAAGTCAAACTCCAACACAAGGGTCAATGGAAAATGTTAGATTAGAGAGAATACTGCACTAGTTCATTTGACAAAACTAGGCATTTTAATTGAACAGTCTCTGAGGTGAAAGGTGATGTACCCCAGGAACAAGAGGTGACATATTCCACGCAGTCAATCAGGTTGTCACACATACATGTAAACCTGTGCAGTTTAACCCTAACTCCTGGGGCTCTTTTACTAGAAGGTATCCTGAATCCGCAAAAATCCACCAATTTGTCATGCAAAAAATGTTGGTATCCTGAGTCCATCAGAATTCCCTGGTGTAGATACTGGAGGTATCCTGAATCTGCCAAAGTCCACCAGCAAAAGTCTCAATGGATTCTGGCGGATTCAGGAAACCATGGTGGCATAAAAAAAAATACAGCATGTTTTTCCATAGAGACTTCAAAATCCATCACCTAAATTTCTGGTGGATTTTGACGGATTCAGGACACCATGCTCGCATGAAAATTGTGATGCGTGTTGTTGCACAGGATCAGTCAAAATACACCAATGCATGGCGACCCCAGCAGCATTGCCTGGATGGGTTATTTACATAATCCATTGTTTATATGCTGAGGCCTATATAGCCCCAGTCACAAGCTCCCATCCACCCAGTACATGTGTGTACATGTTTGTAAAGTACATGTATGTGACAGACTTGGCAGGGCTAGTGCCAACATTATTTACATGTACTTGTCCACAAACATTGCAAAAGAGTACTGATGAGATCCTGAATCTATCAAAGTCGCCCAACAGTTCAAAATGGAGGTATCCTGAATCCATCAAAATCCGGCAGTTCCGCTAGGCTTCCAATCCTGAATCCATGATCCCCCAGTTTGTTTGATATGAAAGTATCCTGCAGTGAATCCGCCAAAATCCCCCGAAACACGGGAGGGGGGGTGGATTTTGATGGATTCAGGTATGTTAGGATCAATGCATCACATGAACAGTTTTCAGCCACTGAAATGTGACAATCCAAGAATGATTGATCCATGGATATATACTTACGCATCCTCTGTGAATATCCAGCTTGTGCTCTAGCTTCAATCTCTGCATAAAGTCTGTGCTTCCTGTAGAAAACATTTAAGAGAAGCATCAATATATGAATTTCATATTCCTAGTCAGCAAGTTGGGGGTCATGCAACAAGCACCAACAAGTGTCGACAAAGCTTCAACAAGTTGTACACGCATTTTTCAGAGTAATTAAGGTGTTTACAATGCAAAGTGAGCTCCTAAATATCATATTAAACATACCACAAATACTTAAAGTTATGTTTGTTAGCCCATGTGTATTATTAATTGACAAAGTATGATAATAACAGTAGTGTTTTTGCAGCCTAGCTGGCAGCCATCTTGTATGCTAGGACTACTCCCTTTCTACAGGTAAGTGCTTGTACCTATAGGTAAGATTTACCATCATACCCCAAACCAAAGTTTTAGGTCAAATATTTTTGTTAATTTTTTTTTTAAATACATGAACCCTAGCAATCTCCACCCCCATCCCGTTGGTTGGAGTCTTTTACAGTGAGTACTGCACTAGTTCATTGTAAACTGATTATAATGCTTTACATGGGGTTAGGCATACCATCAACAATTGGAGTCCAACAGTTTGGGTGTAGAGTTTACGATACGGTGTTGGAAATTGAAGGGGTGAATGGGGAAAACCTGTCCCAGGCTCATAAGAAAAGTCACACTTAATCATGTTTTATCCCCAGAGTGAAAACACTGTTCGAAATTCACAAAAATCACAAAAATAGGGCAAATGTAATAAAGACAAGATGGAAAGATTCCCATACATGTATCTGGCCATCACTTGTCACCCTGTGTACAAACCTTATGAGACTGGTCTGAAATTTTTTAAAGTATTTTCTCAGTAAATACTTCATTATATTCCCTGCTAAATTTAACTTTTTAGGAGATATATTCTCTTTCTGATGGCTAGTCAGTAAAGGGAAAATTAGTGATGGCCAGATGTGGGGAAAAAATCTTTTTTTAGGTATAAAAATCCCAAGGCGTCCGTAACTTCACAATACCAGCTACACACTCTTTCAAAATACATGTAATTCACTCCCATACTCGACCATCTGGCCGGCACCTGATTTCATGAAACTCATTGTAACTTACGATGCATCGCGGCGCTGCGACGCGTCGTATCCCTACGATGCGTCGCAGCTGCAACGCGTCCTGCGATCAATTTCACAAAACGCGTCGTAAGTGCGACACGTCATAGATGTTTTTATAGCACAACTTGTTCTTGAGAAGCACACGATTTCTCAGTTATGTGACCTGAGCAATATTTTTTCTGCTTGATGCCGACAGTTCCGTCGTGACGCAAGCAAATTGCGGGTCGACCTTAGGCCAACCTCGTCCCCAGTGCTTACTTGATTTCCCACCTCGTTTCCAATTAGTAAACCCTGGATAGGAAACTTTCTTCCAGTATCCTGATTCAATACTGCAATTGGCTGGTTATGGATTTTTATCGTGTACTTGGTGTTGTTATTCACAACGTGCAGTACGTGTTTTCGCGATTATTCGTCCACGCCTTCTCAAAAATACTCATTTCCTTTCCAATTTGTTCATATTAATATGACATGCGATACTGCATGTTGTCTCGATAAGATCGTAACGGTTTAAGTTAAGAAATCATGTTTTTGTAGCTCACGCCATGCTCGCACTGCAACGATTGACTGTTTTTACCCCCCCCCCACACCGCATACAAAAACAAACGCTAATGTAACGCACATGCAGGCACCAGACTATTCCTCATTTGCATACGTGTTCAAAAATCTTGCACATGCAAATGATCCAATACCAGGGTGAGAGAGCAGGTAGTGATAGGCGCGTACTGCTCGACACCTTGGGGACGAGATTGACCTGAGGCCTGCTTTTTACACGTCGCGATTCAAGTAGACTTGGCCAAGTCTGGGTTGCGCTCGGTCTGTATCTAAATGTGCGCATAGCGCATACGTACTGTACAAGCCGTACCATAACGCGCCCTCATGCGTCAAATCCAGACCAACATGTTAAAAACGTACATGTTCATGTTATTTTTATGTGATGCAGCAACCACGACTTGGTCAATCTGCCAAGCATACGCGCTGGTTTGTTCCACGTTTGTACACAGTCTATGGAAATTAATTTTCGCTGTGATTGGCTTCTACCCATATGGGTAGAAGCCAATCAGAGTACAGTATTTCAGGTAATTGGCGTTTGTATTCTTAAAAACGCGCGCAGGTTGTTTTTATATTATTCCTGGAGCACCATGCAATCAGCATTGTCTGCGTATTTATTCGCGCAGCCAAAGTTTCGCGGAGAACACACACACATCCCATGGTGAGGAGTAGAAACAGATACACGCACGTGTACATTTGAATACTTTGAAACGGCTCTGGGTACACACAACACGTAGCACCATCAATGGATCTCAACATCTTTTACAGGTTAACCATAATAAAAAATTCCCGTTTGTTTTGAATGACATTTGAATGTCGTGTTCTTTATAATCCATCCAAGAGCAGTTGATCGTAGCATAATCATCCAAATGTGTTTGAAATCTACAAATTAAGAGTATGTTTTTAAAACTTTGCAGATTGTTATCCAGCCTTCCATTACCTACTGAAAATAATAAACAAGTCTTCAAAAATTGGTTACTTTGATTGGTCAAGTGACGTTGCTACATATGCATAGAGATGGTGTTGCATATGCATCGATGCTACGTGCGCGTACACGCGAGGGGGGCAGCTGATGGCAGATTGATCAAGTCGAAATTGCTAACTTTTGCACCACATGTATGCACATGCTCTGCAATACATGCACACACATGCAGATTGATCAAGTTTTTCTAACTTTTGCACCACATGTATCCTGGGAAAAAATTCCGTACTGGAACACCACTTTTACAATTAATTTTCAAGTGCCAAAAGTTGCATCCTTTATGGTTATTTCTTCCACTTTCCCTTCTCTAGTCTCACCCTCTCCTTTCCTTTATTCCTATTTATTAATCAGTCACTTACTTCATCGAGATTCAAACCTCGGACTCTTGCTTGAAACACGAGACTTTTAACTGCTAGGCCGTGCACGATCGCTGTTGCAATGATCAATCTTTGGACGTATTTGAAGTAACCATTGAAATAAACTAAATATTCATGAGAAAATAAATATTCATAATGACGTATTGCACTATCATTGGCCGGCTCATGCGTTGTCACGGTTTTCGATGTCATGCGTATAACGTACTGCTGTCTTCCAGACACTTCGATCAGTTTTGACCGGCTGCTTCAACTTAGTTCTGCATGACGATCGTGTGCATCCAAAATGTGCTCTAAAAACACATTTTTGCTAATTGTTTTCGCATTGCCGAGGCTTCCTGGATTCCTCTTTGCTGAAATCACAAGGTGAGGTGAAAATTGATGTGTTTGGCGGCAGGTAAAGTGGTGGCCCAGTATGGAACTTTTTCCGTATCCTGGATTCTCCTATTTCTGTGCAGATAAGGCTTTGCAAACAGATAGCAAAGCAACCACTCTTTTCCTCCAAGAAACTGATATTGTTGGCTTACGATCATCCAACATACCGATTAACAAAATCTCTTTATTTGTGGCGACAAGCAGGAAATTCCAAAGCGTGCAGATTTGGCGTTGTAGAAAAAAATTCCTGCCTAATTCTACGCAGTGGATGCTGCATGGAAAATCTGTGCTGTTTGGGCCATTTCACTCAAGTTAAACATTCTTTTTTTTTAATAACTTAGACTTCTTGGCTTTGGGAACATATATTTTTGAACATATTTTCTTTCTTTTTCCTTTCCTTTTTCCAATGCCCATACACTTTTCATAATTTCAAGATTATTTTCAATATCCTAATGGTTATATCATTACAAGGCCTATATTTACATATTTACATAACTACATTTGAAACATATTTACCTATGAAATGTAGATCCCAATGATATTGTTTTTCTGATCATCCCAATCAACAGAGATAATTTTCAAGATGTCAGATGTTTAAAGTTCTGACCAAAAACATCCAAAATAATATAAGAAATGTGTCTTTTTGGTTGCACTGTAGGCATGCATAAGTGTAAGTTTTATACCCCTGTAGAAACTGCAAAGTATTATCTATGACATGTTATTAAAACTATAATACTGACGACAGTGGTGGACCAAGAAAGGTCACTGTACGGTCATATTTTCGACTTCTGCAGGCCTGGAAGCATCTGCCTGCTTTTGTAGTTAGTAAATAGCTGTAAAAAGCAGATTGTTTTCATTTTTTGCCTGAATTTCCGGGACAGCCTTCAATTGCCACATTTTTTTCTGCTGCTGGTTAAAGTTGCAAGTGCAAATGCAATACATGCACATACATGTACGTATAACCATGGAGCTATGTGTTTATAGCTCCATGGTATAACAGACAGTGTGTGCGCATTGTTATACGGCACTGAAGTGGAACGTGTGCTGAAGTGTACCTTGTCGTGCTTCTGGAAAGACGTGAACTAAGTGACTTTTGCAATTATTTTTTTTAAGATACCGACTTAAAGCAATCTGACTTGAGTCAAGTCTACTCGAGTTTCGAAGCATCGCATTTGCTCGTACCCCCCCCCCCCCCCCCGCCCCGCAAACAGGACGCTGGGATACTCTGATGAATTCACGCTCTGATTGGTTGGATTTAGCGTGACCTGTGACCTGCGCATCATCACAGTCATGACTCTGCAAAGTTTGAAACGGCCGTTAAACTCTGATTCAGTACTCTTTTATTCCAGTTTAGAGATTTTTGTTGTTGTTGAAAAGCGTTATAATGTAGGAAATTCTGTAAAACTTATCTGTGTTGTAAATTTACAATTCCCGTCACTTGCTCAGGCTCCGTTTTGAATCATGAACGGTCGGATTGCATTATGCGATGCTCAAATTTTGTCCACATGTAGCTTGAGTAACTCCAGCTGACATGCTCATATTCATTCACATGCTACATGTGAATGAATATGAGTATGTCAGCTGGAGTTACTCAAGCTAGTCCACATGGTCCGCAATGAAACAGAAATCACATCCGGTACGGAATGTGCACAATTCTATGGGAAGTTTTCAGATAGCATTTGCACACATTGTCATGATTGTCTAACTGCGGTCTTGAACAGCTGCAGCCAGATGCTTTATACCACTTCCTTCACAAGAAGCTCATCAGATCAAAGTATCCCAGCGTCCTGTTTGCAGGGCGGGGGATAAATCGGGTGCGGACTCCCGGCAATGCCCGGACTAGCCCCACTAGTGTGGCCGCGGTATGCTGCGCTGAACCTCAGAGGTTCAGCGCAGCATACCGCGGCCACAGTAGTGGGGCTATGCCAGAATATCAATATAAATGCTTACCAATGATCGCTTCTCTCGTGGCCCGTTCATTACTGAAGCCCAACCCTCTTTGCCTGTCAATACTATAGAATTTATTCCTCCGATTCATGTTATACTCAATAATGGTTACAAACTACAAACACCTTTCAGACAAAACAAATCCATAATATTGTGAGCCTGAGCTGCGGGGGCCTAAGCGTTTAACAACAGGGTGACCGTAATGTCATGCCCAAATTCTGCTAAATGCGCTTCAAAAATCTGTCAGATTTATCAAAAATCTGCCAAATTCCCCAGAATCACTCGGGAAATATACACTATAAACACTTAAAATCAAATGCAGATGTTGTTGTTTTGTCTTAATTAAGGTTCAAATTACATTTGATTGTCACATAAAGATGTCATGAAATTGCATAAAACATGGTTTAATGTGTCGCGACGAATTAAGTCCCAGTTGAGCTAATATATAGACCAGCCAACCTGCATTATTCAAGTGTTTGTTTGAAAAGATTGAAGTTTTTTTTAAACAAATGTACCATTTTTTTAAACACAAATTTGCTATGTATTTGTGAAAATAACCATTTTTGAAGATTCTGTCAGATATCTGCCAAAAAAATCCATTCTGTAAAAACTTTCTGTCAAACTTGTTTTTTACGAAAAATTCTGCCAAATTTAGCCGAAATTCGGCTACAACGGTCATCCTGTTTAACAATTCTATCCGCCGACTCTCCCTACCGCGCCGATGAGGGGGTTCTTGACGAAAGACGTAGACGAATTCTGCATTATTATTACATTTACAGCACTCGACCGTAGTTTGAATTCGGCCTCATCGCAACAACAGCTCAGTTCAACGTAAGTTTGACTAGTCTTTTGCTTTTCATTTGAAAAACAAATGGAAATAATGTAGTCTAGGCACGGCATTCAACATAGGCCCTAATTGTCAAGTGAGCCAAAACTAGCCAGCCTAGTTAAATGCGCACACCGTCATGACAAAAATTGACGGTGCTCCGTAATGGACATCGAATAAAAACTAAACAGTCATGACAGTAATGGCTAACATGGCTAACGCGCCTATATTCGGAGCAACTATAGAATGCAGGGCAGGGCCACGCCGGAAAAGGTTTTTTTTTTTGTAGTTGGATGCGATGTGAGGAGTGGGGTCGTGAGAACGAAGCAATATTGTCATTGGTAATGGTATATTATGAGACTTCTCCTACTCCTAGATCCTATGCTATGCGTACGCGTACGCGGGTATGAACGTAGATGTATAAAAAAAATAGAGGGCGGTATAAAGAGTGAATGAGCGTGAAGTAAATTGTGATCAATAGAGGGCGCTATAGAGAGTGAATTATTGACAAGTACGTATAGTATATATACCGATTGAGACGGCTAACGATGTCTTGGATGCGTGGATACGCAGATGCTCGGATGCGGGGTGGATGAGCATGAAGTCATCAATAGAGGGCGCTTCATTTACCCCAGGACCCTCTACTGTATTTACCCTATAGGACCCACTACTTTATTTCCCTATCTAAAACCAACCCCAACCTACCCACTCATTCCGTCTTGGATGCGCGGATGCGCGGATGCGCGGATGCGGGCATGAAGTAAATTTTAATCAATAGAGGGCGCTATAGAAATGCGCGGATGGCATGAAGTTAATTTTAATCAATAGAGGGCGCTTTATTGGATGCCTGGATGCGCGGATGCGGAGTGGGCATGAAGTAAATTTTAATCAATAGAGGGCGCTATAGAAAACCGACTGCACATCATCCATGCAGCCATGGATGCATCCACACATCCGAGCATCCAGGCATCAAATAAAGCGTCCTCTATTGATTAAAATTTACTTCATGTAATTTGAAGACACTGTTGCGCCGGAGTCCCATTGGTCCAAAGTCCCATTGATCCAAAGTCCCATTGGTCCAAAGTCCCATTGGTCCGAAGTCCCATTGGTCCGAAGTCCCATTGGTCCGAAGTCCCATTGGTCCGAAGTCCCATTGGTCCGAAGTCCCATTGGTCCGAAGTCCCATTGGTCCGAAGTCCCATTGGTCCGAAGTCCCATTGGTCCGAAGTCCCATTGGTCCGAAGTCCCATTGGTCCGAAGTCCCATTGGTCCGAAGTCCCATTGGTCCAAAGTCCCATTGATCCAAAGTCCCATTGGTCCAAAATCCCATTGGTCCAAAGTCCCATTGGTCCAAAGTACCATTGGTCCAAAGTCCAATTGGTCCGACATCCCATTAGTCCGACGTCCCATTAGTCCGACGTCCCATTGGTCCAACGTCCCATTGGTCTGCAGTCCCATTGGTCCAACGGCCAATTGCTGTGTACGTTCCATTGGTATCTAAATAAGTATGATACTATTTGCCTTCAAGCAATGACTACAGCGTCTGCAATGAAACACAAAACAACAACAACAAGTTTAAAGTCACAGTTCTCTATGCCCTCCCAAGTCTTTGGAGGGGAGTGACAAAGACTGATACGAAAGTCATTGTTTGCTTAAGTCTCCATTGTTCAACCATGTTGGTGGTTTGGTCTGTCGAGTTGAGCGACGCGTGGTAGGTGTGGGTGGGTGAGGAGAGGAGGCTGCAGGTTGAGGCTCCATGGTGGGGATGGGTTGCTCCTTGAGGCCGGGGGCATTGTGTGGCAAGAGGGCTCGTAGAGCTCGTGGAATGGGGCCGGCTGCCGTTGGGCGCTGGGATGGCTGTGGGTGGGTGGTTGTTGGAGGTGGTGTCGGGGTGGCTGGTGGTGTCGTTGCTGCACCTGGTGAGTCCTCCTGGGTGGTGGGAGGGTCGGTGTGGAACGGCCAAGGTGTGGTAGGGGGTGGCGATGGGGGCTTGGCCATCTTGGCTGGTGGAATCATGGCTGTCACCTGGCCAGGTGCCATTGCCAATGGTACGCGGGGTATGACGGGCAGGTACTTACGCAGGAATTTTCTGTTGCGCAGTGTAACCCATCCAGAGCCGTCCACTCTCACCACACATTGGTCAAACTGGCGCACCTCGACCACAATGCCTGTCTTGTCCCACTTGGTGGGATTGGGGCGGGTCTGGTTCTGGATGCGGACACAGTCTCCAATGATCAGCGGAGGAAGGGTGCGGGTGTGCTCAGTGAGGCGCTCAGCAGTGCGCATGTGACGGTTGCGCAGTGCCTCCTCCCGAGAGAGGAGGGTCTCCCGCCATGTTGTGTGGGGCTGGTACTTGCCAGGATGGATGGGGATGAAGTCTCTTATGGGCCGTCCAAATATGCACATGGCAGGGGAGAGGTGTGTGTCACGGTCGGGGGTATTGCGGTACTGGAGCATGGCTCGTTGGAACTTGTCAGTGTTCAATGTGCCGGCAGCGTCAGTGTTGTTTGTCAGGAGGCGTTTCACGGTTTTGACTCCTACCTCTGCGCGAAAATTGCTGTGGGGGAAGGCAACTGAAGACATGCGGTGGTTCACGCCCCAACAGCGTAAGAATGTTGCCGTCTGGCCGGACTTGAACTCGGGCCGCCATCTGACGTTAACTCGTTGCTGATGCCTTAAGTGACGAAGATGCGGCGCAGGGCAGCAATGAGTCAGGTAGCGCCATTAGCAGCTTTCTCCACGATTGGCCAGTTGCTGTATCGGTCTACAGCCACCAAGTAGTTCTGGCCTTGGTAGTGGAAGTAGTCAGCCGCGACACATTGGAATGGGTAGGCTGGTTGGATGGGAGGGGTAGGTGGTGCACTTGGCTGTGAGGGTGCCATCCGGTTGCAGGGTGAACAACGCGCTCGCATCTCTGTGATTGCTGGTGTCATGCCTGGCCAGAAAAATGAGGACTCTGCCCTCGAGCACATCTGTGAGACACCCTGGTGGGCTGAGTGCAAGGCCTGAAGCACCCGGTCGCGGAGGGAGGGTGGGATGACTATGCGGTCATTGTAGAGAACTACCCCATCGAAAGTGGTTAGGCCATCACGAAATTGGTGATACTGGCGGACTGCGGGGGGAAGATCGCCTCTAAGCTCTGGGAAGCCATCCACGATGACTTCGAGTAGGCTGGACATTGAGGGGTTGCTGGTGGTGGCGAGGCGTACATCATCTCATGTAATTGATGTGATCACCTCGTTGGGCTGTGAGGCTGCCAGGGTGCAAAGCTGAGTGGTGTCCTGGCCATGAGTACGGAGCGCGGCAAGGAAGTCATGAGGCAGCTCAGGCTGGGTGATCTGTCCCGAAGGGTTGAGTGCAGTTGCAACATCATCTTGTAGGCCCAGTTGCGCAGGCTCGCCAACTGGGTGGCGGGAGACCGCGTCGGCTGCAGCATGGAGCACGCCGGGTATGTGAACAACTCGGAAGCAGTAGCGCAGAGACTTCTCCTTTAGGTTGCGGAGACGAGGGTTTGGGATGTTGTCGAGGGACCGGTGCCAAACATTTTCAGGAGGGGCTTGTGATCCACAGCAACAATGAGGTCAAAGCAGCCGAGGACAAAGTGGCGTGCCTTGTCTAGTGCATCAACAACTGCCAGTGCCTCCCCCTCCACTGGGGCGTAGCGGGACTCTGCCCCCGAGGTGAAGCGACTCCCGACGAGTGTGATCTTCCAGCCAGTCTTGCAGCAAAAGGGCTTGGAGGAGGGGCAGCTGCAGTGCTTCTGGAGGAGCCAGAACCCAATGCCCTCCTTGCTCCAGTCGGTGGCGAGGCAGGTTGGTTTTGTCTTGTCGAAAATCTCCACCCCCTTGTAGATCTCACCGATGATCAGAGATTTTGATTCCTCGAAGAGGCAGTTCAGTTGGTCCGTCCACGTGAAGCGGGTGCCGGGTTTGAAGAGTTCACGAAAGGGCAGCATCCGTTTGGCCGAGGCAAAGACGTAGGAGACCTGGTTAATTAGGCCGAACCAGCTTCGAACATCGGTGATGTTGCATGGCGTGGGAAAGTTCTGGATGGCCTCTAGGTAGCGAGGGCAGGGGCAAACAGAGGTCGGGGTAATCTCGAAGCCAGCGAACTCGACTGAAGTCTTGGCGAATGAGAACTTGGAGGGGTTTAGGGTGATACCATGGCGGCCACAGATGTCAAGCCAGTTGATGGCCTGGAAGAATGCCTCCTCAATGGTGTCAGACCACATCAGTGTATCATCCACACACTTGGTCTTGTTTGGGATGTCAGCAACGATCCCATCAAAGCGGCGGCTGTAGCCGTCTCCCGAGGCGATGTACCCTTGCGGAGCAACGCGGTACCAATAGCGACCCCATGGAGTGATGAGATGGCGGTCCTCTTCATCTAGAGCGATGCTGTGATAGCCATTCCACGCGTCAAAGACGGTTTTGCGTGTGTGGGGCGGGACCGCACGTGCCTGGTGGAAGGGTGACTGGGTGTGGTGAGTTTCGCGAATGGCATGACGATTGAGTGGTTGGAGGTCGACTGTCCGTCTAGGCTTGCCCGACTTCTTGGCGCAAATCACCATCTTGTGGCACCAAGTAAAAGGTGTGCCAATGGGTACTGGCTCGATGACACCAAGGCGCACGTCTTGAACGAGGCCTGCCTTCACATCGTCTCGCCTGTGCACAGGGGCTTGGATCGGTGTGTGGTGAGCGACTGGTCGAGCCGCATGGTCCACCATGAGGTGCATCGGCGGTCCAGACATCATGGGAAGTGGCTGATGCTCGCATACGTTGAAAGTGCTAGATTTGTAGCACTCAAGCAGCCACCGCTCGAGTCTCTCGCGGTTCTCCTCCGTTGCTGGGAATGGAAGAGATGTGGAGGGAGATGGCGGTGCTTGACGCTGAGGGCAGTCGCATGTGTGGGTGATGCATGATTCAGGTGTGGGCATCGGTGTAGTTGCCGAGGAGGAGACTCTGGCACTGCCGGGCTTGCATGCCTCTCCAATGGTGGGGAACTT